TCTTCGTTGGCCCTGCCTTTTCTCTATCCCATAGCCTATGAGAGGGCATCCTATGGTTTCCATGGTAACCTTACTCCCCTTCAATCGAAACAATACCCAGAGTGGCACTTAGGTCTTTCACAGACACAATAGAGCCACGCCAGTGGATGACAGCGTCTTTCAGTCTCAATGCTGAGACCAAAGGCTATGGTTCTGAATTGATCCTCAAGGAGGGCACCTATTAAAATACGGCGCTGGAATCCTCGGTCACCAATGTTTTGGTCAGAGAGGAAACTGAAAGAGAAATTTTATTTGATTGGGATGACTGAAACAAAAATGAGAACTTAGTACGCCTTCGGTTTTGCTACTCACACACTTTAGTAATGCCTGTTGGAATGTAAGAGGAAGGAAAAATAGTTACCTATCAAGAACTTAAAGCCAGTGGTGCCACCTTTTGGTCACCGATTCAGACTAGCATCCTAATTTCTGCCGATGAAAACTGCCCTCCACAGCATAATGCTACCACCACCATGTTTCACAATGGGGACAGTGTCATCTCCATTACCAGTTTAGTATAATGTAGGTCTTTATGATGGTGATGTTGATAATAAGTGTTCTTTCTATACCAAGTCTAAATAAGAAACACATAATAGACACTAATTTCTAACCAGGGGACCTCTGATGAATACAGAAGAGGATTAGGGCCACTGAAAAAAAAAAAAAAAGAGTTAACTGTTTTTTTAATATTATTTCAGTTTAATATGAGAATAAAGTCAGAATTCTGACTTTAATCTCAGGATTCTGACCTTTTTCTCATAATTCTGACTTTTTTCGCAGAATTCTGACTTTAATCTCAGAAATCTGACCTTTTTCTCATACTTCTGACTTTTTGTGAGAATCCTGACTTTAATCTCAGGAATCTGACCTTTTTCTCATACTTCTGACTTTTTGTCAGAATTCTGACTTTAATATCTGACCTTCTGCTCCTCCATTAATGAAAAAGTATCACCGGGGACCCCTCAGGCACGTAAAAAGTTGCCTAATTTCGTCATTTTTCACTAGTGTGTTACTGGCCCTCCCAAACAACTCATATCTTTTTCAGTGAAGCTGAGTGCTCCAACATCTCTTCATGGTGCCCATCTACATGAAGATCCAAAATTCTGAGAAAAAAGTCATAATTTTGAGAAAAAAAGTCAGAATACTGAGAGAAAAAGTCAGAATTCTGAGGAAAAAAGGTCAGAATTCTGAGAAAATTTTCTCATATTATACTGAAATTAAAATTTTAAATCAGTAAACTTTTTTTTCAGTAGCCCTAATCCTCTTCTGCATCAGAGTAAGGGTTAATTAGAAAAGCATTTTATAACATAATTCTTTAAAATTTACATTATTTATATAATTATATATATTTAATTTTAAATTTTTAATTCATAGTTTGTTTTTCTTTTGTAGATAAATCTGAAAATGTTCAGAGTATGAATGCTTTTCACAGTAAATAAAAAAAATAACATAAGAGAACTCCTGTTATTCTCTGATCACATAGTTTTTAACAATTGCAACTACAGTTGCCAACTTTGTGAAAATTTTATAAGGGACACCTTTTGGCCAGGCATTGTCTTCCACCCCAACATTGCAAATTCAGATTGATTTTATAAATGTTTAATCATAACCCAAATTGTTCTACACATGAGACAGTTGATTTCTAAGGGACAGTTGGCAAACCTAAGTCCTATGCTCTTAAAAATTTAAAGGTCTGCACTGGATTAGAAATTAAAAACTTTCACATATCTACAAGATACGTTGTGTTTACTGAGTTTCCTTACTATGGCTAATATTTGTCACATGGAACATGTGGCTCAGAGGAGGGTATAATTCTACAAAAAAGACAAGCTAATAATTCAGGCATGATTCAAAGCACATGGATTTTACAAGGACTTTGGAATCTGTTTGGAGTTTGATTCCAACCACCGTTGCCATAACAATGAGGATGAAAAGACTAATAAAAAGAACAACATAACAACCGAGTATTTACACAATTCAACTAATTGTAACATTACATATTACTAGAAAATATTAGATGCTTATGCCACTTGGAAAATATTGGCTTTCTTGGTTTTCCTTCTCAAGCAAAATAATTAAAATTATACACTTATATTTTCTAAAGAATAGAAAAACTGCATATTCTTAAGTCATTAACAGTACGTAAACAATAGAATTTAATTCAACCATGAAATGATGATCAAAATTAATATACAAAACATGTGACTAAATCTCATATTGCACATTGTTTTTGAAAATTTTGGTATCATGGGGGTTTGCTGCCTGTCTGTTGAATCCAATGTTTTGTGCACAGTGTAAACACTTTAATACTTTTTTCACAGTGCGACGCAGTTGGTTAGTTTGGGGTTTTGAGGAGTGTGATTTATCATCTGTTTAACAAGATTGGAAATTGATAATTCTCCATTTCTTTAAAACTATCAATAAGATGCTGGGCGGTCCTCATCTGGTGCGCTTTTCATGCAAGAACAGATAAAAATATATTAAGTGAAACTACAAATCTTTATTTTTTAAAATGTTATCACATTTGTTTCTGTATAGAAGTGCACTAAAAAAGAGTTGAGTGGGAAGAAACAGAGGTTGGCTAGGTTAGAGCAGTGCTGTATCACATGTGTGGGATTGGGACAATTGGATAAACATAAACCTTCTTAGCTACGACCTAAAAGCTTGTTGGCTTTACACCATCTGCTTCTCTCTCCGCAGTTCTAAACTCTTAGCTACTCCAATCTTTTACATATGCCCTCCAAACCCTGGCCGTAGATTGACATCTCTTCCCTTTCTATACCGAGAGGTTTACATTTTTAAGGCGTGTCTGATTTTAACCTGAACAAAGACATTGAACATCACTGATTTAAATGTTAACAAAGAAGAATAGCTTTCTATCTTTAATTTTTTAACCCCAATTTCATGACTGTTTATTGGTTTATTACATTTAACCAAGTTTTTTTTTTTATCTAAACGGATATGACTGGGACCTGAAGGTATAAACATATTTAGATATAAACAAGATGCAGCAATGGACCACAATCATCCTAATAATGTGTTTTTTATTGATTTATTGATTTGCTGGACGTAATAGCAATATCATCTGTCCTATCCTGAATTAAATTATATTTAATACTATAATAAAAGCATACTATTTGAATGTACTGGGAGAGTTGGACCTTTTTCACGTTTCGCCATTTTACAACCACAAAATTATGATTTGTTGAGATTTTGAGTGATAGTCCAACACAAAGTTGTGGATATTAATGGGCTTTATGCACGACTCCACAACTTCCTGGTTTTAAGGCAGCTCTTTCGTTTCCTGCCTTTCATTACAGGATGAACTGATTAATTAATGTGTCTGACCATGGTTATTGAGGTCAGGCACACCTGGAATGATCAGTTCATCCAGCAGAAAAAGACAGGAAACAAGAGAGCTTCCTTAAGTTAGGAGGTAGTGGAATTGTGCATAGATCTGATTGGTTTGCACATCAACCTAGGACATAGTGATGGCAGCACCTTTGTCTTAGAGTGTCTTTTTTGGGCAGTAATAGGGGACATGGTAACAGAAGAGAGGTCTGATTTAGCTGCTGGAGGCAATCCTGGAAGAAAGCTGCTGTACTTTGCAGGAGACGAGAGCAGAGGTTCACCTTCCAGGAGAACAATCACCATTTAAACATATAAACAGACTAACAACGGGATGGCTCAGATCCACGCAAGTCCGTGTGTAGGAATAGCCTGGTCAAAGTCAAGATCTAAAGATATGGCAGAAAATGTTTTGTAAAATCAGATGAGACAACACCTTTAGCCTTTATTCAAATTAAATGTAAATAAGTGATTTTTTTAGATGTCATTTGTAACAAAAAACAATTTATTCTTTTCATTTAAATTCAATTCAGTTTATTTCTATAGCACCAATTCACAACACGTCATCTCAAGGCACTTTACAGTTCACCAGATCATAGAGTTAAATTGATCCAAAGTTTTCTATCTAAGGAAAAACAGTTGATTGCATTGACTGATTGACTCGAATGCAATGCCTCACACTAAACATGCTTGTAGTGACAGTGGAGAGGAAAAACTCCCTTTTAACAGGAAGAAACCTCCAGCAGAACCAGACTCAGTGTTAGCGGCCATCTGCTGAGGCCGACTGGGGTTCAAGGAGACAGAAGCAGAGATACAAAAAGCAACTGTAAGAGGCGGCTCCGTCCAGGAAACACACAGATAGGCAGACAAGCTCTGAGCCAGGTCCCATGTCAGAGGATGAAGCACATCCAGCCGGTCACAGTCAGAGAAACAGGACTAGACTGGAAAAACAGGTCCATTTCCACCATCTATAAACAAAGGTGTTGATGGCAGCAGTTTCCACTTCACAATTACACACAACTTTGTTTTGGATGTATTAATAACATAAACATATAATAAATCAAATTGTATGGCTTTAATATGAAAATAGGTGAAAATACATTCTAGGATAAATACTTTTGAATACGTTTGTTGTGATTAACACTGAAATGGATTACAACTTTGCACACGAGACCCCCACAATTAAAAGATAGAATAGACATCTTTTAACATATTTAAAATAATTATACTTTAAATGCATATTAATTTAATAATGCTTCCCTATTAAAGTAAAAATCATGTTTTCTAAAAGGAGTTTTTGGGAAACATCAGCTGTACTTCAGAGGGACATGAGCTGAATAACATTTTACCCCAGGGTTACTCTGGGAGACATCTTTTATTGCACAATTTAATTATCAATAACAACTGTCATGTGTTGGGTGGCTGTAGTTTGGTCGCTGCTTTGACTTCCTAACAAAGAGATCGGTTGTTGTCCTTGCAAGGGTACTTCCTGTCCTTTGCAAAAGGCATCATAACAAGACAGGGAGAAAACAGCTTATCTGGGTCTGTAATGCAACTTCTTCATGGTCATAGGCAGAAATTCACGAGGATTGTAAAAAAAATTATTGCATTCTCTAAATAATGCATAAGTAGGCCCATATAAATAGACTTTCAAACGGGACAGGTCAAACGACTTCTGCAAAAGAGTGGCTGTCAGTGTATATTTAAGCAGCAGTGCGCATGCCCGACACTACTGAACGTGAACGCGTCTTCAAGACATGCAGCCCGCAGGTAATACATTGCTTCATGTTGGAATCAGCTCGTTTCTTGCTTGTCATTTTATCTGAATTAATGGAGTAAATGATATCTTGCTGGTATGTAATGTCACGCGCAGCTATGGGATAATCCTTAAAGTTTATCCGTAATCTCGAGGATCCGCAGACGATCACTGGACACCATTAATATGTAGCGTCCGATGCTAGCAGGTTCTGGAGGTTTATGTTCCTGTGGCTCCGCCATCATCTAATGAGGAATGTTTTTATGGATTCTCTGCTATGTGTTTCTTGTTGGGTTTTATATGCGCTGCTTTGGCACAGAAGAGCTGCGGGGGTTAGCAGCCAAGCTAACGCTAGCTGTGCTAACCCTGCAGAATTATTATTATTCCAGCGATGCTTAATACCATGACAGGTTCACGTTAGCTTCAATTGCAGCGGATAATTGGAATACAATAGGTATTGTAATAGGAATTAGAATTGCAATAGGTAATGTCAGCTGATTGCGGTCATTCATTAAGCCGGAGGTGCGCGACCCCTATGGGTCTATAGAGGTACTGCATGGGGGTCGCAAACTTTTTGGTTGATTAGAATATTTTTTTTTTTTTATTCCCCCCTAATTTCTAATGTCTTAAAAAGAAAAACATTACCATGAATGCAACACGCTGTAGTAAACAGATAAATGGAGGCATAAGAAGTCTTTCAGTCATCATTGCACACATTCAGCGACACACAGGAGCTCTTTCAAGCTGGGCACAGTTTCATTCACAACACCTGTCCCATCAGCCAGGAATCAGAAATACTTTAGTAATCCCAGGGAGGAATTACTTTCGTTACATTACTCCATCTGTAATAGTTACTATAGGACCAGTTTGATATAACACTATTTCATACAATATATATAATTAAGGGGTCCCTGCTCCATTTCGCCATCAGTTTGGGGATCCTTGGCCTGGAAAACTTTGAAGAACTCTGCTGTAGGGGATTCATGGGGTGCCTGTCTCTGTGTGTCTGGCACCCTGGCTTGTGAGTTTGAGTGGTTTTTGAACTCACAACCTCAGGATTTCAAGTTCTATGCCCTCACCACTAGGCCACCACTATAATACTGAAAGCTCTGAATTGAGGGTAGTATTGTGATTTGTTATCGCAGGATCAACGTAATATTGCTATTGCAAGGGATTGATGTAGTTTAGTTGGTATCAGCTGCAAGATTGTTGCAATGGTTTTTACTGCAAAAGCTAGTTTACATGTTTAAAAGCCTTTTATTTCATTTGACTTATATAGTTGTTTCCTATTTGTGTGGAGGAGAAAAAAATATCAGTAAGAATTTTAGAAATTGTTACATTACTGTTAATAAAAAAGGAATTATTTGGTTTAAAGTCCAGTGCAATATGAGAGAAGGTAGATTATGTTTATACTGAACTCTCCCTCTTCATCTCCTTTGTTCTTTGCTTGCCCAAAATGAGATGAAAATATTTTATGGCTGCAAAAAAATAATTGTGATTAATCGATTATTGAAATAATCATTAACTAATTTAATAATCGTTAACTGACCCATAGAGACTCTAAAACAGGCCTTTAGCTGACAGGGCGACCCATTTAAAGCAGTAATTACATCACCATTGTAAGAAAAAAAAAAGATATAAACATTTTGCATTTTAAAAAAAGTTTCATCTGTAAAAAAAAAAAAAAAGAATCGAAAAATGTATCGATTTGCAAAGTAATTGTTGATTGCAGCCTTAAATATTTAGTAATAAAAGCACCTTTATGATGAACTACATCAGTAACAGTTTTAAAAATACAGCTCACAGCCCATGAGTCTGTGGTAGTTTTTTTTAAAGATTTATATCCAGCAGCTGGATGCTGGGTCATTTGTTTTTTTTTTTATCTGAGATAATATTATTCAATTTTAAAGATTATATTAAAACCTCAGAAGTGAAAATTATGCACAATACATCTAATTTTAGGTAGGTCTAATTTTGAATGAGATTTGAAATCTTAAGTGGTAATTTGTCCTCATAATTTTTTTCAGGATAAATTATTGATACACAATATTATTTTTATGGTGGGATTACACATGTTTTGTTTACTTGCAGGAAATTGAATCAGGTTGTGATAAAATGGTGTTTTAAAGGTGAAACGATGCAATATTTTTGCTGATTGGTTAAAATAAAGTCTCCGAAGTGCAAAACTACAACATGACTGCTTAGATTTCATTATTTATTTAAAGTAGGATTGAAGAGTTCCAGTTTGATTTGTGACATGTGACTCCTTTAAAGGTAGTTAAAGAATCTGTGATTTTTATGACTTTCGTTTTTTCAGCTTTAGTGAACTTTGGTCAAACATCCTCCTCATGTGACAGTTATTCTAAGGAAGAATGTATTGAGAAAGTTTTAAACATCATACAATAATAAAAAAGTTGCTGAGTAAAGATGTTTTGAAACAGTTTGGCTGATAGTATTTTTAAGTCTTGCCATAGATTCACTTGATTTAAAGTGTGGGCTTTAACTGGGCCATCTGGACACATACAAGTCTTTGTTCTAATCTAAAGCTGCATTAGATGCCAAATTACAGTCATCAGTGCAAAATATGCGCAATATTTCAACTGCAAAGGGATGTTTGGATCTAAAAGTTATTCATTTACCCTATTCAACATACTACATTTGGTAAGTCAGGTGGACTGGACTGCATTTTATCACCTCAAGTGATGTAGATCTTTGATGTAAATGTGTTATTGATTAAACTGGTGGGGATATGATAAAGTGAGGAAAATACCTTTCTGCTCTGGCAGTTTCTATGGTCCTCGTCTTGCTAATCGGACATCAAAGCAGGACATTGTCCGATAGCACAGCTTTTCCCCCATTCTAGCTCTATTTCTATGCTAGCTGAAGCAGATGGAACCTTTATGTTTCATGACACATATCTGCAGCACAGAAGCATTCAGTCACTTAAACAATGTTATTGGCAAAATAACATGTTGGCACTGATGTGACAATTTCATATCAGTACTTCACTACTAAAACGAAACTGATTTTTTTTTTATCCCAACGAGGTAAGGTCATAACATAATTTTGAACTTTAGGTATGAATGGTATTTATAAAGCAACACCTAAGTATAACGCTTCCAATAAATGAGACGTCTTTACTTACTAGTATAAATAGACACAATGTGACTAAAAGGAAAGCTGTTAAGGATTCATTAGTTTAAAATGATTCAATCCTAAAGACACATGATTGAGCAGATATTTATAGTCTATACCATGAGTAATGATGACTACCGGTATTTACAATTCTACAAGAATTTTATCCAAACCTTTTTACCTGAAATTGCTGAAATAACTGAGTCCTTCATTAAGCTGTTGTTTTTTTTTTTTTTTTTTTTTTTTTTTAGATTAGACTCGGTGTGTTACAACATCGATTATACTGTTCTTGGACTGCTAAAGAAAAGGAGAAAATAGCACCCAGAATAATTCCAAGATAGTCTACAGAAAAAAAAAGTCAAATTTATTTATACCTGTATGTAGAGTAGGGCTACAACTAAACATTATATAGCAAATCAATTAATCTGTTGATTATTTTTTTTTTCAGTTAATCGATTTATAATCAGATAGCCAAAGGTTTCCTTAAAGAAGATAATTTAGACTTAGACTTCCTTTATTGTCATTGCACAAAAAATACAAGGTGAATCTTGACAACGAAATGTCGATTACTTGGCTACCAGTGTAACAGAGCTAAGACCTTATTCCTGCACAATAAATATGTTTTCTATGAGTAAGAGCTAGTTATATACAGGGTAAGAGTATATAAATACATAAATATTGCACTGAAGAGTTATTGAAAATGAAACATTAAATTGAAGACAAAACTAAACTAAGGTGCATGTATTGTCCATGTCCATGGGGGGAGGAGTGTTATGTGGCGTTAAGTAGTCTGATGGCCAGGGGGAAGAAACTGTTCAGTAGTCTGGTCGTTCTGCAGAAGATGCTGCGGAACCTTCTGCCGGACGCCAGTGGGGAAAAGAGTCCATGGTTGGGGTGGGTGGGGTCGAAGAGGATCTGGTGAGCCCGGGATAGGCAGCGCCTGTCCGCGATGTTCTTGATGCAGGGGAGCGGCGCCCCCGTGATCTTCTCCCCTGTCCTCACCACCCTCTGTAGAGACTTCCAGTCAGAGGCCCTGCAGCTCCCAGACAAAAATGTTTTACCTTCATTTTCTTTTAAAATAAATTCTATGTAATTACTGCTCTAATTGGGTTTTCCCATCAGATAAAGGCATGTTTTAGAGTCTGTACACTTCAGTTAATGATTAATCAATTACTAAATTAGTTGATGATTATTTAAATAATCGATGAATTGTTTCAGGACTAATGTAGAGCCAATGAAAGATCGTCTGGTCTATCAGAGCGAGATTTTGGTACCAGGTGGGAAGACGATTTTATTCAATGCTCAAAATAAACCTGAAGGACGGGGGGATTTATCAACATACTCAACTGGTTGAGTCTAAAGTTCCGCAAACCTAAGTTGTTTTTCTGTTTGTTTTTCTAGTAACCAACATGGGCAGGTAATGTCAACAAGTTGTGTGCCAAAGGTTGTGTGGAGGAACAAAGGGCATCAATACCTTGGTGGAAACCTCCTTCTTTTCTACTTAGGCAGAGAGAAATACATTTTCCATCATCATGGCAGAGGAGGACTATGGCACCTTTGTGGACTGGAACCTAATGGGCGACCTGGCCAAGAGCAGCGGGCCCACCAAGGTTGACTGTAAAGAGCTGAAAGAGTTCAAACAGATGGCTCGCCAAGGCTACTGGGCCAAGAACCACAAACTGCGGGCACAAGTCTATCAGCAGCTCATCAAATCCATCCCCTGCCGCACAGTTACACCAGATGCAGAGGTGTACCGTGACATTATGGGTGAGGCAGCCACAAAGAAGCCATCCTCGCATATCTCGCTGCCAGAGTTTGTGGATGGGAATCCTGTGCCTGGCTACTGTCTGAAAGCAGACGCTGTGGCCTCGGCTCATCGCATCATCAACTGCATCGCGGGGCAGTTTCCAGACATCTCCCACTGCCCGTCTCTTCCAGCTATTACTTCACTGCTCCTCCACTTCAGTAAAGATGAAGCTCAGTGTTTTGAACACGTCAGCCGCATACTGGCTTGCAACGAGCCGGGGAAACGATTGTTGGATCAGACTTTCTTGGCCTATGAGTCCAGCTGCATGACCTTCGGAGACTTGGCCAACAAGTACTGCACGGCTGCTCACAAACTGATTGTCGCCACAGCTCAGGATGTGCTTGAGGTCTATGCAGACTGGCAGCGCTGGGTGCTTGGAGATCTGCCGTTTAGCCACATGGTCAGAGTACTGGATGTTTATCTGGTAGAGGGCTACAAGGTTCTCTACCGTGTTGCCATAGCCTTGCTTAAGTTTTATCGCAAACATAGAGCAGGAGGACAGCACCAACAGCCGCAGGACTCTGAGAAAATAAGGTTGGATATTCAGGCGTTCATCAAAGGCATCGGCTCCACCGTCACGCCTGACAAGTTGCTGGAAAAGTCCTTCTCCATCCGCCTAATTAACCGCAAGGAAATCACTCTGCTGCAGCTGACGAACGAAAAGTCCCTGCAGCAGAAAGGGATCACTGTCAAACAGAAAAGGTAACGTCTGATCCTGAAGTCCTCCAATATACATCTCTTATTCTTCTTACCTTCTTTTTTTTTACTTTTTGGTTCATTTCACCATATGCAGCTATTGCTTCAAAAATAAAACCTTATCGATTTAGATGATAAATTCCACCTAGAGTTGGCAGTCAAATAACTTTAAACTGAGCTTAAATGGTACTTAATTTGAATTTCAACCCCTTGCAAAAGTATTCACACCTCTTAACCCTTTCTACTTTTAACCACGCTACAGCAAACCTCTGTTTCACTGGGGTTTAGTAGCCCAAACTGGAAGGAGTTTGGGGTGGAACGGTTCACAAAATCCACGGTTCGGTTCGGTTCACGGTTTCGTGCTCACGGTTTTCGGTTCGATATATGTTGGTTGTTAGCCTGACATGTTGGTCATGTTGCTGTTAGCATAAACAAAACGTGTTGCACAATGCTTGCACACTGTTTTCATCCACAACTTTCTTTCCGCCGTCATCGTAGGTCACTCTAAATGCAAAGTGGTCCCATACAACAGACCTATAAAGTGCTGCTGACGCGTCTTCCAACTCCTGTTGTTTCCCACTCGCCATACCCACACAAAACTCCACAACTGATTTTTTTCTGCGACACCCGGCTACGCTGCTTCGCTTCTTCATCTTGTTTACTACTGGTGGTTGGCTTTGGTCGCAGTACCGCCACCTTCTGCTCGGGAGTGTACACGCTTCGCCTATGAGAAAAAGGAGCTGCGCATGAACCGAACGCAACACACGCGAACCGAACCGAGACTGTTGAACCGAACGGTTCGGACGGTTTTCATAAACCGTTCCATCCCTAGAAGGAGGGTGTTGCTGAGCAGCAGTTTTCAAGTCAGGCCTAAAGTTATCAATCGGATTCAAGTCTAAACTTTAGCTGCATGATTTTATCCCCAAGAAGATGCTTTATTTTACACCTTTCGACTGCAGTTCTAGTCATATGGTCCAAACCGTCCTGCTGGGCAAAACTCCAACTGTCTTAATGTGCAGTGCTACTTTTTTTTTTTTTTTTTTTTTTACTTCACATTGGTTTTTTTTGTTGTTGTTTTTAAGCTGAAGTTCTCCCTGACTTATCTGCTGTGTTCCTTAGTCTTCATATTGCTCTTTCTCAAATGTTCTGTAGGGTCCGAAACAGAACAGCTCAGATTTGACCAAGATTAGGTTAAAGAGATGAGTGGAATTTATCAAAAGTTATTAAAATTATGGATAGAGTGAAAATCTTTAACTCGGTTAAACAATTTTTATTTGTAGCTTATGTTAAACCGTGTATTCTTTCCTTCCAATAATGGAGAGCTTTGTTTTGCTTTGTCCCTTTGAAATAAAATAATTGGGGGGATAAAGGAGGTTTCGGGGATTATAAATACTTTTCTTGTGTATTCCTGATGACATGTGACTTATTTAATTTCTTATTTAAAGTCCCCACTTTTCTAAAGCTGCTTCAAATTAATGTTTTTAGTGACATTTCAGGTGATTTTTGCACTTAAGTAAAAGTAAAAGCAATTTGTAGACATGAAATCAGGTCACTGTGGTGTGTAGAAGCATTGACCTGCAGGCCTTTAATAACAGAGAACCTTGTTAAATTTAGCAGCGTAATGAATTTCATTCTTTTTTTAATTGTTTAATGTGCTTATCTGTGTTCTCATTGTCTTTGTCTATTTTTTTTGTTTCTTTTCTGTTTATCTTCTGTCTCATCTGCTCTCCATTCCTGTTATCTGCACTGGTTGTGTCACAGATTTAGGTGGGTTCCCTTCTTCATCATCCTTTTGTTTGTTTTTTTGGTTCTAAATTGGCATCATGTTGTACCTGCAAACTGTTTATCAAGTTTGGTTTTCTATAATAGCATTTTAAACCAGAATCACCATCAGTACCTGAAAATTTGCTCTCTAACTTGTCCTGTTTCCTTTTTTTCTGGGTCTCCAGGCGAAATGTGCAGCTGGCACTTAATCCTGAGACGTTCTCCTCAGAGATTGTAAGCGCAAAGGAGATGCATGACATCTGGTCGTGGATCCCAGAGCGCTTCGCCCTGTGCCAACCGGAGCTCCTGTTTACCACCTCCACTCATGGTTGCAGCATTAATAGGTGATCTTATTTAGTGCCTGTATCCATACATTTTGTTTTTCTATTTGCAGCTCCTGCTCTTTTTTTTTTTTTTCTTTTTTTTTTTTTAAGAAATTGAAGGAATCTCTTGCATCTTGATTTTAGGTTCTACTCTCATTGTGAGGGCCATGAACCCACTCTGCTCCTCATTAGGACTACAGATGGAGATGTAAGCAGAGCACCTTCTTCTCCTAATGTCACTTGACGATTCATATGGAATTTAATTCAGGTTCTTTTAAACCTGCTGATGAATAACCTGACAATTTTTCTTTTACAATCCCAAAAAAAAAGACAAACAACAAAATAGTTAGTTAGTTAGTGAATTAGTTAGTTATAGAGATGTGTATATATATTTTTCAATCTCATCAACCAGGTTAACATTAGGCCATTTAATTGCCCATGCCTCTGCCCTGATGCGAGGTTGGGGCCAAACACTTTCTGGACCACCATCATGTTATCTAGGTGCAAAGGGCCAAAGGACATATAACCAAATACACTAAAGTTTATATGCTTCTATTTCCATTAAGATTATACTGAAAAGATCAAAGTAGTTTGACGAAAACCTTTGCTCTTAAATCTTCATTAAAAATGTTATTTTAATCTAATGCCATTTACAGTGGATCTCATATGGCTGGATGTCATTAGAGATCTTCCCGTTGGATGCTTGCTGAACATTAATAACAGGTTTTTAAAGTCTGATCCAAAGATCAAAACCACTGCAGCTAATTTTTCTTGTCATATTCTGTTTGTTTTTGTATCCAGGTGTGTGGAGCTTTCCTGTCGACAGACTGGGAGGAGAGAAAACGTGGAGGCAACAAGTTGAGTTTCTTTGGCACAGGGGAGTGTTTTGTATTCAGGGTAAGGTGTTTTTTTGTTTGTTTTTCAATGTATTTTTTCCAGGCTTCATTTTATTTCTACTTTGAATAATACCACGAGGTGGTCACTAGAGGGCACCATAAGCATTTGTTTCACATATCTGGTTTACAAAAGGGGTCCTTTGGGACTACAAGTAGGAGAAAACTAAATTATTGGTGCAATTTTTCTGCAGGAAATAACTTAAATGCCTTATGCACAGCTGATTTCTTATTTTTAATAACATTTCAGCTTAAAATGAGAAAACTGTCTTGTATAAATTATTCATCCAGCTTTCTGTGTCCAGACACACACCAACACCTTAAACACCAAAACGTAGGTCTTGGTCGGAAACTCCAGTTACCTGATCCTGTGTTCTCTGGTTCGTCCCTCACCTGACACCACGCCTCCTGACACACGGAATAGATGGTGTTCTGGTTCCCAGTCTGTCAGGGATGCCGTTTGTTTAAGATGGGAGAGAAAAGGTTAAGATGAGTGTCCAGACTAAAGGAGCAACAACTAAAACAATACCTGTAAATGTCTCCTTTATATGAAACTTACTGCTACAACACCTAAGTTCACCTGGGCTAAAGGTCATGAATTGATGATTTTCTGCTAAATGGCAAAATTCATGGCTCCATTATTCAATGCAAATTGTCACGAGTATTTATGCAGCAACAAACCATCACACCACTGCCTCCATGTTTCATTACTGGTATAATGTGTGCTTTTAGTTTAATATGGAAGAACACAGCTTCCAAAAGTCTTAATCTTTGACTCATGAAACTAGTCTAAAGGCTTTGTCCATTAAGCGTCTGCCGTAATTCTGAGTCTTTAACCACACTTCTTTGTTTCTATTTTCTTTATAATTCTGGCTTTATTGATAAAAGGAAGATATTAAAAGCTAAGATGCCAATAGTACCAGTTTCACAATCTTTCTCTATATAAAAAAAAGTTAAACTATTAAAAAAAAATAAAACAAATTGATGCAAACCAGGCTGAGAAATTTTCAGCTTCAGAAATGAAATTCTGTTGAGTCTTCAAAAATTGGTGTGCAATCTTTAAAATAGTGAATATGTCACGATAGACATCAGAGGCCTGCACCACGAAGCAGGATCACTGGGTTAATGAGTCGACGTCAGGTTTAATCCTGACTTTCCGGTGTCATAAAGTTGGATTCATTCTAGCTAATTTAGTTACCATGGTGACTTGCAGGATTGATCTGAATCCTAGAAAACGCTCCCCCCTGCAGCCAATCAGCTTTTCAAGAAGCAATGATATTTCCTTTCACTGAAGACACGATTGAATTCAGAGCGTTAATTCAGACTCGACGACCACGTGATATTATGCAACCTGCAGCTTCACATACACCGCCAGGTGGAAATGACTAAGAAGAAAGCTGTCCTGTTGCTGTGAAATGGAACAATGAGCATTTATATCCCTTTCTGTACAGACAGTCCGCATGAGACTGAAACAGAAATGTTTGTCTTCACAGGAAGTTTCATTTAATTAGTAGGAAAGCATTTCTGTACATTTAGGCATTTTTGCCATCTGCCCGCTGAGTTCTGTCCACAGAATAATCAGGATGATTTCACTCAGATTGATCACTTCCTGTATTAATATGATGCAATCGTGGCATCACCTTCCAGCTCTATAATAGCCCAAACATTATTGATTTAAAAAAATCCAACTAATCAGATGTTTTAGTGTTTATTTTATCTCTCCTCTTCATGGGATGAGACGCATATTAATATGCAGCAAAGTTGGGATGCAGGTTGTGTGAAATGACCTTAACTTGCTCCTTTATGCATTCTGTAATCCTTTGCCACCATATTTGCCGTCTCTTTCATGCCGCAACAGCCTTTGACTTTTCTTTAGCTCTTTGTAAGTTCAGTTTTTGTTCCTCACAGGAGAAATATGCCGCTCTCCCTTCTGTGCTCATGATTGATTTGTCTGCTGACTTGAACCCGCCCCTTTATACGTGCATGTTCAGATTCATGATCAGTCAAAGTTGGGTTGAGTTAGCGAGTTGATCGCAAGCTTGGTATTAATGAACGCACTGCATGGCATTCTGGGGGCTGTAGGCAGAGAAATGGATTTAGGATTTGAGATCTACCACCAGACAAGCTGAGCAAGGCTGGTGGTTGTCTGACCTCTTGTTAAAGGTTATATTTAGAAAAGCATAAGGTAAGAATTTTAATAATTTATTTTTTACCTTTGATAAAATAGTTTTCTATCACCTGATCTAAAAATGCTTATATGATGAAACCTCTTTCAGCCAAATGGCACAGCCTTACATAACTAAGTATAGCTGAACATATATTCACTCGTTCTCTCCTTTTTTAGCTGAAGCCTGAGATGGAGCGCTATGAGTGGGTGGTGATCCGCCACCCTGAGTTAGCGTCTGCCATCAGACCCGAGGGTCAGGAGAATTCTGCCTCCTCTGAGGACCAGAATGGAGACAAAAGCCTACAGCAGCCTGACAAACCTCTTGGAGATCTATCGCCGTTTCTTGCCGCTCGCCACTTCAACCTTAACTCCAAAAACACTTCCATGTTCATGGCTGGAAACTTCGACTCCATCATAGTGGGTGAGTAAAGTGTTGATGCAGTGTTTGCTTATATGAAATCTAGATATTTAGCTTGCAAAGCTTTTATTGTTTGTTTTAACGTCTGCTCCGATCAGGGGGTGGAGGCGACGGGAACGCTCTGTACATCGACGCCGAGCTGAACCACGGGCACACAGGCAGGTGCACCACCTTTGATAACCCGCCCTTGTGTAAGGAGAGCTTCCAGATTTCCCTGCTGGAGGTCTGGGGCTTCCAGGACGCCATGGCCCAATAATAGGGAGCCGGAAGTAAAAATGCAGATATGCCGACAGAACAGCATCTTCTTGGTTTTTCATGTTTATTTATTGGTGTATAAAGATTCTATATTTTTGTTAATTTTTGTATGTCCAGATTATGGTAAAAACTGTGGAGGTGTTAAGGTTTCTAATTTCTACATTTAAGTTTATTTCACTCTGCCAAAAGTCCTTGATGTGCTCCAGAGATTATAAAACGGTTGATATCTAACATTAAATGTGAGGTGAAGTCTTCATTATGTGTTAAAAGGTTAAATATGATGATGGTGTCGTGTTGTTCCAGGACAGACCTGTTTGGTCCACTCCTGATGCATTTGTTTTCTGCACTATTTGATTTCCTGTGCTTCATGTGAAGGATGTAAGAAGATATATTATGCAAATGCTTGTTGCTGTTTTTGCACCTCTAGGTTCAAAACCTTTTTTTTCCCTGTTTATATGAATACTTCTCTGCATAGTGATTTAACCTCGATGAAATAAGTAATTTCATAGCCTTTTCTGCTTTTTTGGCATTTGTGTGTTTCCTAGAAATGGGAAGAATTGTGTAAAATGTTGAACCTGTGTTGATGGGGTTACATGTCCTGTGGCTGTATGGATGTCCCTCAGAGTGGAATGTGAACAAAGTACCGTAACAAAGAAGCAAACATGTCCTACATTTGAGAATACAGTATTACCTGAAATATTAATGGTTGTGATCTTTAATTCTTTTGCTTTAGTCTGGGAAAGCAAATGCCACATTCTGTTTCTCCCAGGTAATCATGGAAAGGTGTTAAATGTGTTAATTTGTCAGCTGACTGTGACTATAACTCCATATCCGATTTCTAAAAGTTTTCATTTAAAATTGCCAGATAATCTAAAAAGCTGAACTAATCAATGAACTAATCAAATGATATAGTGATGTTTTACATTCTATTCAGCAGGAGAAGCTGGGCTAACAAAGCATATGATCCATTTCTACACACTCTAAATTCACCTGTCAAATCAACTTTCATAAATCCCCATGAGCCAATTCACTGCACACATTTCTGGCTCTGCTGCTAAGACACTTTGTGCTGAATTGACAACATGCACATCAAACCAAAGTCTCCAAGGATAACTGTCACATCAGTCGGCAATAAAATATCAGGAAAGTGTGAGCTAGAGAATAACAGCCATTGCTATGAGAAACTGACATTGCAAAATGTATGTTTTACTGTAAATTGGCCTGTAATTGTATAGCGCTTCAAGTCTACGGTCCACAAAACACTTTACATAACATTCATTCACACATGGTGATAGTAGTGAGCTACAGCATAGCCACAGCTGCCCTCGGCCTCATTAAAAACCAAAAAGATGTTTTTCTAAACGACATCACTTCCTATTACAGTATGTAACCACTTAGCAGGGAGCTTAAAATAAGCTCACCATTAAAGGGTAAAAAGAGGACTTTTTTTTGTATTTTTCAAACAGTTGGGGAAGTTTGAACTGTTATCTGTAAATGAATTTTCTTTAAAAAGAGAACAATCTTAATGTTATTCTGATTAACAAAAAATGCTGAGCTTTTCTTGCAAAAAAGTTTGGACTTGCCAAGTTACGTGTTAGAGACACCTGGTTTTATAATAGGCTCAAACTTGTGAAATATCACATTTCGAGATGCCAGCAAACTGGACGTTTTAGAAAAAGGACTATTTATTGGAAAATATGTTTCTTAGTTTTCTGACCTTAGATTAGAGCTGGACAATATCTGAATATATATCAATTCAATATCGATGATATGACTTTTTATATATTTAAAAAATACATTAAGGTCTATAAATATATTTGTTACTGCCCTAGGTTTTATGTAGTTTTGTGTTTTTTCAAAGCAAATATTCCTTAAATGTTTTATTGGAAGATTTATTTGAACATAAGCAAACTAACTTTCATAAGTTTGTACAGACATCTTGTAGGCATTCTTGGTAGTCTGTCAGATTATTTTATATCAATATTGAAATTCTAAAGAAATGCATCTTTGTATCAGTTTTGGACATATCATCCAGCCTTATATTTCAGCTTCTAAATTGGAAAGATTAAAGACTTTATTGAAATCAGAATTGCAGGTGGAAAACATCAAGAGATTTACACCTCAATATCCAATATGGCTGCCTAGCATCAGTTATAAGCTCTTCGGAATATTTTTTTTCTCATAGCTTTTCACGCAGTAATATGACGCAATTTTTAACGAATAATTATGAAATAAGAAATAAAGAGAGTGGCTTTATTTAGACTTTTAGACTTAGACAGATTTGTGATTTTGTTTACACAAGTGTAAAACAAAAGAAATTTCGTTTGGAACAGCTCTCTGGACCATTTTATCTTTTTGAACGTGCAGCCTTGGTAAAAAAGTAAAAAAAATATATATATAAAGAGTAATATAAACATATGACTGTAAATTTACAGTTCTAACATTTTCATATTTTTTATATGATGAAATAATGTAAAAAACAATACAATAACCCATTTTACAAAACATTCAGAAGTATAATGGCAGTGGGGAAGAAACTGTTGTGGAATCTGCTTTACCTGGATCCATGGACATGCAAATTTTCCCATAATGCTAAAAAGTAATTTTAACCTGATTTAAACAGAATTTATTTGGAATCCCCACCGCACCACTCTGTTGAAATGTTTTTAATAAAATGGAGATGGATACAAAAAACTCATCTTTTCAGCTGTTTGAAATGATTTTGTATATATTTTTTAAATAATTGATATCGCAGTTGGAAATCCATGTTGGACAATAAGAATGCAATCATCATTGGTATTAAAACTTAAACCCAAAACGTTTAAATCTGCTGTAGCTTTGTATTACTAACAGCTTTTAAGGCACATGCTCTATTTTAGTCGGGACATCTCTGTGGAAGCTGACAACAGCCAGCATGACTGGAAAATATATTTTGAAAATGAGTCAGCGTGTCTTAAAATAAATGCGTAAAATCGTTCCTGTTTAACAGTGCTCTGTGTCGCAGAGGTCAGTTGGTTGTAGATCAGATTTCAGTCCCACCCAACAGGCTCTGTTACTTACAGATATGAAGACAACCCAATCAGTCACGACACACGATCCTTAAAAAAAAAAAAGAAAAGTTTGACATTATTTATTTAAATTATTTACTGCATGAAAGTCACATAAAAAATCAGTCTGGTGCCAGCAAAGACACAAATGCCATTAAAAGAAAAAAAAAAAAAAAACTTTTTTATGCTGCTTCTCTTGACAATTCACATCAAATGCTAAAACTGGGCCTTTTAACAATTAGGTTTTATACTTTTATGATTCCTCACATGGAATAAATGTAAATTAAATGGCAAAAACAGATCCCAAATAAAACATTTAGTTTACCAGCTTATTGTATTTTATGACAATCTAAGAACAAAAGATGCAACAAATGTGCATCCTTGTTCTGTGTCTTTTGGGGAGATTGTATCCAACAAATGAACACAAAGTTTGGTATAATTGCAGATGAAAGGAAATAAGTTATAGATATACTGTCTCACTGTGTGGTGCGTGTCCCGAGCATCAATAACTCTCATCTCTCCACCATGGACTGTTCTCCCTGCTACCCTCTGGGAAGAGGCTTATCAGCATTCAATGCAGGACCAGCAGATTCTGTAACAGTTACTTCTCCACCGCCATCAGAATGCTGAACTGTTGAAAAACTCTAAATCATGTCACAGACTCTGCATCACACTGATAACACCAAACCAAAATACTACATATTTGCACCATATATATTAATGCTCTCAACTTCCATATCAATGCGTCTTTTGCACCATGTTTTTTTCTCCCACATTCTTTATATTTGATCACTGCTTCACTTCATGGAAGGGAAATGTTCATTTACTGGCTGGTAAGCGGTACTAAATGAAGTTTTGTTTTTTATACACTCTATGTCTACAAAATGACAATAAAACTTGTCTAAGTCATAATAATCATATATATCTATATATATAAATATAAATGTGAACAGTTCAAATTTGTATTGAGTGCTTTACATTAACCTATTTATGACACAACTGTATAATTTATGAAGCCCACTAATAGCCCTTTTAATTGTTTGCCATTATGAAAACAACTAGTTACCCTTACCGATCGCCTAACTAGTAAACACTTGTTTACACTTGCACTTGTTTAATTTATTCTGTTTAAATGTTCTATTTTTATTCTGAGATGTCCTTGATAAATTATAGAAACAGCATTGTGAAGTCCAGGAAACACATCAGAGGAACACGTCAGTGGGTATTTTCTAAAACAATATTCAGGCTTTGAACATCTTCCAGAGCTCTGTTTAATTCATAACCTCCATCTGGAGAAAGAATGGACGAACTGCAGGCCTACAAAGACATGGACTTCAGTTTAAAATACAGGCCAGACAGGGACAACATTATTCAGCTAAGGAGCCAAGGGACCCCTTTGATTCCAAAGGAGATCAATACCTCAAGTTGGAGAACTTATTAACAGAACTGTTTGTCCGAAACCTGTCCTTTTATGAAGAATGGCAATAAGAATGGCGTTTTAAAGGAAATCTATTTCCTACAATCTTATGGGGACAAAGCAAAGCTGTGGAACAAATTCCTTTGGTCAAATGAGACAACAACTGAATTATCTGCTATGCAAAACTCTGAAACACATAGAGAGTTGATCTGAAGATCAATTTGAATTGGAGCTAAAAGCCCGTAAGAAAAAGTGAGAAATTTGTGACTGGGGCATAGATTCCCCTTCGGGCAGAACAATGACCCCAGATTGGCCTTGTCGAAGCTCAACCCTAGAGAATCTATTCCAAGGGATAAAATCTGATTTTTAAATATTCCTATCCTTAAATCTAAGCTTAAACTGTACAAAAAGGAATAGACAAAACATTCAGGCTGTGCATGTTTGTATAGATATAAAACTTTGACTAAGGCAAAATGTTTTTTATAAAATGTATTAGTTCAAGGGCTAAATCCAAACACTATCATTATTATCAGAAAATGGTGCAAATATATTTTAGTGAATTACATTAAAGACTGTAACAACAGAAACAGTCCTAAGAGTATGAACTGCTTGGAGTTATATTGTTTTAACTCATAGACATCCACAGCATCCTGTAATTCATTTTAACGACTTTTGCCAGACACATCAGTTAAAAGAGTCAATATTGATCGATGTCACATAATGCAGTTCTCCCAGCAATGTAAAGCCTATTCATTTACAACAGAGGCATTTACCCTTTTGAGAAAATGTATATCCTCTTTACAGTAAGAGGTATTGACTCTCACATTACTATGTAGTTTATTCAAGGACTCACAGAGCTAATCGCACATGCACGTCTATATTTAGCTACTGTAGTCCTTTGGCTGTTGGTTTAGTGCATCCACTGAAAACCCTGCTTTCCAGCTTCGAGGAATAAGATGCTTAAGAGTTTAAGTCTATGCACCGAGGAGGGTTTTCCTCGGTTTACTCACCACTTATCAGCCCTGTGTATTCATTTGATTACAGAAATGTGAACAATTCTTATTACTAATGGATTTCTTTGCAAAATGGTTAAAAAAAAATGTTTGATCATATAAAAAAATGAATAAAAAAAAAATGAATAAGAAAAAGAATAAATTACCTGAGTTGTTTCCTGTATTATGACATTTGAAAGTTTTTATTTAATTCCCAGTCTATATTCCTGGGGTTTGGATTATATTGAAATGTTGCATTGCTTATTACATGTAATCTGAAAGACAAAGCCAGGCAAACAATTACTTCTCATTCTCTCTTGAAAACATTTATGATTGCCTGTCAACAACACGAGGATTCACTCAAAGCAAATAATCGTGTCACTACGAAGCTTATCATATTTCTACATGCTGTTATATGAGCTTGTTGTCCAAGACTGAGGCTTTGATGTTGAACCAATAAGATAAAGCCTTTTAAAAGAGAAAGAGAAAATAAACATAACATCCTCTTTACTGTGACCTTACTGTTTCATAATTCAGCCTCTGCAGACATGGAAGTAGTAGTGTCTAAGAGGAAGGAGGTCAGTGGTGATGCATGTAGACACACCCCATCACGAGTGGTGGGGCTTTACTCTGATTTATGGGGGAAGGGACTTGTAGTTTTGACTTATCCTGGCAATACTAAAAGAGCAGGGAGGTGGAAGGAAAAGAGGAAGGCAGAACCCACCACACCAGCTCTGAGTCATACACAGACACATCCCTCCTGCCTCATGAGGGGTTTAAATGAACCTCGTTTCTTTTCTTGGTGTAAACTGTGTGCAGTTGCTGAAAGCACTACAGAGAGGAGGGGGGATTTCTCAGCTAACCTACTTAAACAGGCTCATGTGCCACATCGCTGCATGTCAAAACTGACAGAAAAACCCTCTGCTGCTTGGTATATATGGAGGGCCAAAGGTGCCAAAATAAAGGAAGATTTTTATATCACTCTGCTGTTATTTCCACAAGTCAATTTAGACAAAATAAGAAATAAACATAAAGTTAATTGTAAATATTCTGAATGTCTTTTTATTGTCTTATTGAAGGTATTAGGGAGGATTTTCTCGACTTTTTTAAAAGACCGGCTCTCTCCACTTAAAAAAAATGCATGTGCGAGAGCATGCACAAGCCCCTGTCTCCTGGTGCACGCAGTGTATAAAAGTTGCTGTTCTCATAGCTCATACAAGCTTACTATTCCTGAATGTCCGCCCTCACCCCTAGATTCCTGAATCACTATTGAGAGCGGGGACTTTATAGTGAACTCTGTTAACTTATTGTTTCGACAGATGATCACTTCCCAGTTGGTCCACTGCACAGTGCCTGCGCCATCTTTTGTATTAGTTGCTGCTGTTGGCAAGTGACAGCCTATGGTGCATCGGGCCGCTGTGACAGCAAATCCCATAATGCTTTGCAAGGAGAGCTCTCTGTGCAAAGCATTCCGGGATATTTTCTCTTTTTCTCTTACGACCCTCGGCCATTTTCATTGAACACGCCTCACCACAGACATACGCCTGAAAGTGTGCATGCGCAGAAAAAGATAGGTAAATGGGGACGAGCACGTAGGACGGCCTTAAACATATCACCAGAATGATTGACATTTAGGACGACCAGTTATTTAGATGATCCACTTAAAATAAAAGATCATCCTCTATACCACAGGTGTCAAACTGGTTCCAGAAAGGGCCGTGTGGCTGCAGGTTTTCTTTCCAACCAAACAGTAGCACAACAGACTCCATTCTTATCATCAAGTCATCATGTTCAGATTGGACTCCCTTGATAAGTTGACTGGAGTCTGGTGTGCTATTGCTTGGTTGGAAAGAAAACCTGCAGCCACAGGCCCTTTCTGGAACCAGTTTGACACCCCTGCTCTATACCTTTAATGTAAAATTAAATATTTGAATGTAAAAAAAGATATTTCACACTTTTTTTTTACCCCCTGTGTTGTAGAGTACAATTAATAATTGAAACTATCTGGGTTGTAAAATAGACTCTAATCTGATTTGTTAACCTGTACAGGAAGTCAGTTTAAGATTAGTTACCTGGAATGGAGCAGTTTTAGCTCCATCTACTGATATTTATGTCTGACTGATAGAAAATATACACTGAATATGTGCTGACGCATGTCACTTATTGAATAAATTGACATGTGATTAAATAGTAGAATTAAATAGTTGTTTTTACATGTGACGTATAAATTATTGCTTTTAAATGTATTTCTCTTATAGAAAAAATGTGTTTAAACATTTAAAAGGAAACTATATTAGGATAAAAACCTAAATAGTGTGAATATACAAAACATAAATTGATTACAATTGATTTACAAATGTCTTTTACAGAAAAAAAAAATATTTTTACATACTTTTTAACAATTTTAAGGGTTTTATTACATTTGCAGTGCAACAGTCTCTCAGAGGGAGAAGGAGAACACCCAGACCACCATTAAGCCACAGATGTAGTATGTAGTTGCAAAGTTTATCAGGTTTGCAAATCCTGAAAATAAATTAGTTTTGAACTCCATGATACTGCTTCTAAAAAAATGTATCCTTGACCTCCAGAGGTGTAACCAGAAAATGTTAATAAGGGTGGCCAGGCAATAACCAATGAACACTGAGGGGTGGCCGAAGGCGAATAGGCACCAGAACCTCAGGGTCAGTCCAAAGATAAGACTAACTATACTTTCCTACAGCCTTTGCTAACGAATAGATGCATATATTTAAACATCCGTGCATTCTAGATAGAAGTTAAAGTGGATAAAATTCTTTCAGCTTTGAGTTCTGGGGCGAACATCTTTTCCTTTGTTATTACTGACCTACTTTTATCAACAATCATTCTGCATGAAATTGATATTTACAAGTATGAATATCTACATAAATTGATTACTTAATAAGTTTTTATTAAAGAAGTTATTTATATATGATTTCACTGAAGACACCTAGATGACTTGCAGAAGCACATCATTTTCTCTTTACCCCATTTAACACTAAATCTAGTTCTGAAAAGAGCATGAATCATGTGCTTATCATCTTTAATGTTAGTATATTGATGTGCATCATTAACCACAGTGTTTTTTTCTTGTCAAAAAATTATGAATGCATGAAAAAATAGTAAGTAATACATGAAAAATGAAAATAAATCTTCCACTTGAGAGTATTACTGCTGCCACCATCTGTATTAGAGCGAGAAAAATGGTAGGGGTGGCCACAAGGGTGGCCAGTGATTGGCTAAGGGTACCCATGGCCACCCCTTGCCCCCCATCTTGCTCTTCCCTGTTGACCTCTTCCTTGTCTCACGTCAACAAAATTTCTAAACTTGAATATCAATTATTAAATATTAGCGGAGTTGTGGCCTAGTGGTTAGGGCATTGCACTTGGATCTCAGAGGTTCTGAGTTCAAGCCCCACTCCCACGAACTGCCACCCTGGCTCCTTGAGCAAAACCCTTAACCCCCACACAGCTCCCCGGGTGCCGCATAGTGGCAGCCCACAGCTCCCCAAAGGGATAGGTTAAATGCAGAGAGTTAATTTTGTTGCTTTGTATTTGTGACAGTGTAATGACAATAAAGTTTACAGTAATTCTATGATATCACCAGATTTGTCTTGGGTTAAGCTTCTGCAACTTTCAGCTTTCTTGAATTTTTTTTTTACTAATTATATTTCTCAACTCTAAATATAGAAATAAATGAAGCAAGATAAAATCCGAGACAAAAGTAAAAAAAAAAGAGAGGTTTTAGAGATCACATATGACCTGTGTCATTTATGATTTAAGTATTCATTTGTAAAATTTTTGGCTAACAAAAGTCATGTTTGTTTTATTGATGCCTATTTCAAAATTCTAAAAAAAATATTGGAATACTTACATCAGTAATTTTTTTGGAAGACATTTAAAAATGTCATTTCAACCTTTATGACTGATCTTGACAAATTTTCCAGATTTACAGTCTTTTCATCCCTCTGCCCTCAGGCTGCATAGGAGCAGACCAAATGGATGCCTGAAAAGGGGAACTTTTTATAAACACAATTAAAATAAACGAAAAATGACACATAGCATAAAATAAAGTTGTTCGTTATAATACTAAAACATTTCAATTTGTATGCATTTTTTTATGTCGCAGTGTATAATATAATGATAACTTAATTTCCCCCCCCGCGCTGAGCAAATTGAGCGTTCCATCCGTTCAGTCAGTCAGGTGATCTTTTCCGCTTCGCCATTTTGTGTTGCTACGCCGGCTATTTATCTCAGGAGTCGTGACTCTCCCGTTTACACTGTTAGTTAGCTTATTAGACGGTTCCTGGTTTACGCGGCGTCGCTTGCCAAGACCGCGGCCTTTCGTTTTCCATCAAGTGCGCTTTTTCCTCTTTTGGTTAATCGCTAATTGTTATTTTTGTACATTTGTTTTATTTTTATACGTAATTTAGTGAAACAGAATGTCGAGCTCAAGTCCTGAATACTCGCCGTTCTTCGCGGTGATGGGAGCCTCCGCGGCTATGATATTTAGTGGTAAGTGTCTAACACTTTTGGTTTATTTCTTATTAATCTGTTCGTATTAACTGATAAATTTGTTTAAATTGCATAAAGTGTCATTAGCTTTTAGCTACCCGTAGTGCTTTGTAAGGCTCGCGTTAGCTAAAGCTAACATTTATTTGCTAAAAAGTTAGCTGTCATTTTTGTTAGCTATAAGGCGTATAATGAATTTGTTTTCTTGTCTTTAAACATATCTGTGTTTTTATTTTTTTATGTCACAGTGGTGCTAGTCTTAAGTACCCAGCTATCGTCAGCTATGACGAGCTAAGCCTTGTTAACTAGCTGGTGAGAAACGTCTGAGTTAGCATTGAAGCTAACCGATCAACGTAACACACTCTACAGAAAAAATATAACACTAACTAGTTTTCTGCCTTTAAGTTTGGTATTATATAATCGATTTTTAATTAAACAGTAATCTAAAATGTATTCCTCTAACTTGTTTGTTGGCTTGTTATGTTAATATCCAATTTAGTTATTTGCCACCATATCGACTAAGCTGCCTTTTAAATTTAACTGGTCCAATAAGGAGACTAAATAAATGTGTTGCAATGTGGATTAATGATAAACTAATGTTACAGTCGAGATCATAAATCCATAAGAATTTGAGTCCATGCCCTCTACCACAAGCTTTATTTAATTACCACGTAAACATAAACGAACTGCCTTGGTGTATGCTTAATTTCTGGTATGCATTTCGTTAAAATAAAATAAAAACCAACAGAAAATGTAAGCTTTCTTATTACATTGACCATTGGAAATCATGATGTGGCTGACTTCCTATTCCTCAAAGCAAGGGTGAGGTCACATGATTGTCACATGATGAGACTTCTGACTTGGATTTACAACTTGGTCCTCTAAAATTAACGTTTAAACTCTTGTGAGCAGTTTTTAAACCAGTTTGGAAAGTTTTATCAACTGTAGTGAGATTTTGTTTGAATGATTTTACTACCTTAATGACAGTGGCAGTTCCTCTGGTTTAGATTAACTTCATAATATATATATATAAGCTTTATTTAACTTGAGATGTACTAGACCTTTATTTTTCTGACAAACACCAAACCCCTGTAATTAAAGGGATAATTTGCATTATCTTTTATTTCTTTATTAAAATTAAACCTTAAACTCATGAGATAATGCACTCAATACAAAACAATGTGGTCTCATAAAATAATCTCATAGTGCATCAAAGTTATTTTCTGTTGGCTGATGTTGATGGTAAAAAATGGTTTGAAGTTTTAAAAATTTTAAGTTGTGAAACTCTGGATAAATTGAACTGAGAGGAAGAAAATGATTTAATTCCCCGGTTAGAACTTATCAAGGGGAACTTGGCTGGTTCTGACTTCCATCTGATAAAATATTACAGCTCTACTGTCTTCTAACTTTTTTTGTTATGAAATAGTTTTTGTTCCATAGTATGAAAAATCCGTTGTTTCGTTTTTGTTTGTTTTTTTACAGCAAGCAGGTAAGGGAAATTACAACAAATAAAGTGTTGTAGGCATGAAAATTGGATTATTGAATAACATGGAATTTGCTAGCAAAAAATGTATCCTGTAGTATGATTAAGCACTAAAATGTAATGGGGAATTGGCTCCTCCACAAGGATTTGCACTCAAAGTGAAATGTCATTTTTATTAAATGAGAATTATGCTATTATGGAAGGGATGAGTTGGGTATGGTGATGAATAGGGATGCTAAATAACAAATGAGATCTTTCAGAGTGATGTCATTGACATTACGATGTAAATTTGAAAACCATCCATTTAAAATTTCCTAAATGTGAAATAAACATAAGTGACCTGCTGCACCACCAGGGGGCCTTACAAAAAACATGGTGCCATTCTAAGCTGCACCTCTGTAGTTAAATTTGTCATAGGAAATCAAATCCTTTTGTAAGTAACATTAGACACCGTTTTATCATTTGGACGGGGGGAAAAAACATTATTTTTCCAAGATTGTTCAAATCACACCTGTCCAACAACACCTACGGCAGAAATAACTGCTGCACAACAGACACTTGAGACAGAATTAAGCTGTTTATTTGCTTTTGAGGAAATATTTATTTGACATGACATGAAAGGTTTTTGCATGTTGCATTTTTTTAATTTTTTAAAAGCATGTAGATAAACTAGGGATGCAAATTGATTTATGAATAAATTAACGTGAATTGATTAAAATGCTAGTAAAGCTGTACTTGAGTATGAATGAGCAGCAGTTAAGCATACATGACCGTGTTCCCTTTTGCTTCTGTTGTAGTTTACAAACCGCTGCCCAGTTACACTCTCTCAAACCCCCTTTAGTTAGATACGAATGAACTAACCTTCACTGAGTGCAATCATCTGATGCATCTCTAGAAATGAATGGATGCATGGCACTGTGCCATGTGAACATCTGAACAGCCGTTCTTGTAGAAACCTACAGCCCAGTCGGTCTGTAGATCACCCAGAAAAACCCAAGGACTAGTAGAACATGAACAGAAACCCCAGTTCAGGAGGCTTCGGGCTTTAAAGACTGCTTTCCAAGATGATCCCTTGGGAAACTTTTCAGATTTAATCAGCATCATTTTTGTTTTCTAAAGCTGAGAAAATGACTTTGCCAAAGTCCCGTTCCCCACGTCACCATAGAGTAAAATCTGCACAGTAAATGAAGAATCCATAATTTTTCCTTCTTTAGCTTTGCATTGTTCTGCTAGTTAGCTATTGAATTTATCCATTAGAAAATTAGGGATTGCAATGGAATAATATTGGTTCTTAATGTCGTTGGGAAATCTGGCCAAACCAGCCTGTCTGATTCCTGACAGGCTCTGTTCCATGTGGTAAACAACCTTCTGCTTCACCTGCAAGATCTTGTCGGGCCGAATCAATAGTTGATAGATGGTAGCTAGTTTTTGTTTGCTTGATATTGTTTCCGCTCTTCCGGCTGGATGTTTGCTTTCTTCATCTGACCTGTTTCTATATAATGCTAATAGATGTTCTTTGGAAGTTTTATTTTTTCTGCCAGATCTAACTGAAGTTTGTTATCCTCACCCTGTTAACATCAGGGATATTTACCAGACACAAATATGGTGGGCACATAGCTAAGAGCACATGTTCCATTGTAAAGCCTCCGTTCCTCTTTTATTATCTTTTTTCATTATAATTATGGAGAGAAAATGTAATTTGCCATTTCCTGTTTGCATAAGGTGAAAGGCCCTGGTGAAGTGATTTTGGACTTTTCTTTTAGGGGAACAGAACCTGTAGTAGCTGCTTCATCTGTTTCACTTCTTTTTTTCCCCAGCTGTATTTTAGATTTTCCGTCAGCTGATTTATTCTTGTTTCTTTTATCCTTTTTTGGGTTAATGTTATGTTTTCTCTCCCTCTAGCCTTGGGGGCAGCCTATGGCACGGCTAAGAGTGGCACAGGTATCGCTGCCATGTCTGTGATGAGGCCGGAGCTCATCATGAAGTCAATTATCCCTGTGGTCATGGCTGGTATTATAGCCATCTACGGCCTTGTAGTAGCAGTGCTGATTGCCAACAACATCGCACCAGATATCACTCTTTTCAAGTAAGTTCAGCTAAGCACTTTTTTGTACAGTCACTGGTACGTTTTTATATCCATAAGAGGTAGCAGTTCACTCTTTCCCTGTAAATGTATTTGTAAAATTCCATAAAAATATTAGATTTAAGAAGTTACTATAAAGAGGTTACCCGATATATAAACCTAGATAAGTATTTAAAAAGAAAAAAAGATTAGGTATTTATATCAGTTTCATTTCATACCTGCCTACAGGGCATTTTGGATCAGCTCTAATTGATGCTTTTAAAGTAATTTTTTATAATTGTACTATGGCTGGAACTAACGATTATTTTGCTAATCTATTATTATTTAGATTATTTTTTCAATTAATAATCGGATAGCAAAAAGTTCCTTAAAGGAGATTTTTGGGTAGAGCACATTAAAAGGCTTTTTTTTTTTATCTTAAATTTTTTTGCTAATTTAGTAGAATTACTACTCTAAGTGGGTTTCTCAGTCAGCTAAAAGTATGTTTTAGAGTCTCTACACTCTAGTTTATGGTTAAGCGATTGCAAAATAAGTTGACGGTTATTTCCATAATAAATTAATCCAATTAATTGTTGCAGTCCCAAATTATACTCTAAACTATCTTAAGAAAATTAGCTTAGGCTCCTACAAATGACAGCAGGAGTTTTCTTGGTTATCTTGATTTTATCTAACATTTGGTTTAAACTTTTTAGTTTTCCAGTTTCTCCCTTATTGATATTTAATTTTAATTCGGTAAAACTAATTGTTCATCATGGTTAGCAAATAGTATAAAGAAACTTTATAGAGGAATTTATTTCTTGCTTATTGTAAAAAAAAAAAAAAAAAAAAAAGTGGATGTCAAAAGGCTAATCATATTGGTTTATGTATTGTGCACAAATGCTCAGAGCAGTGGTTGTATGTCCTTACACCTGAATTAAAAATTAAATGGCACTGCTACCTCTGCACCAACCTTTTGCTTAGCCAGCACCTTTTTAGGTGGAGGCAATGTGATTAGACGCTCCGGCTCAGTTGCACGGTCACCATGTGGCTCCAGAATTACTTTATATTTGTCTATTAAATGTAAGATGAAGATGCATTTATGTAATGTTTTCTTTACCAGATCACTTGGTTAACATTGTGGCACTTGTTTCTTTTTAGGAGTTTTCTTCACCTCGGCGCTGGACTCAGTGTGGGTCTCAGTGGACTGGCAGCAGGCTTTGCGATTGGTATTGTGGGAGACGCAGGTGTGAGGGGCACAGCTCAGCAGCCACGCCTTTTTGTGGGAATGATCCTCATCTTGATTTTTGCTGAGGTCCTGGGTCTCTATGGGCTTATTGTTGCTCTTATTCTCTCCACAAAGTAAAGAATCTACTACTGCAACATTGGCCCATAATTCTGTTTGGAGAAAGTGTAAAAAAATAAATAAAAAAGGGGGGGATATAAAAAAAAATCTGCCATGCAAAATGAAAAAAGTTTAAGTGTGAGAAAGTTGATTATGATGGCTCCATAAATATGGTCTTTTCTCAATGTGTACAGTTGTCCCAATTTGATAGTCAACTTGTAAATGCGCACTGTAGTGATTTTTGTCTGTCTTGTATGCGTGTTTAAAAAAGAAAATTGTGAGGATTCCTTCTCTCCCTCCACTTATTTCAGGCGTAGAGGCCAGCTGGTGCAGCTTGGCCTCTGGTCTTAGAGCTGACCAAAGGGCCACACAGCTTTTTCTCCCCACATCAGCCTGGGAACTGTAATAATCTTGAGGATCTATTTGTAAAGACAAACATGTATGGACTTAAGATTTTTGTTTTGCTGATTTTATTTGTGACATGTTCATTGAACTGTTAAGATGCAGCAAATATCTAATTGTCCAAGATAATATACATATATAAATATATACAGATGTATAAATATCAATAGATTTAATGCACTGTGGGGTAATTGTTATAAGTGACTTTCATCTGGCTTTAAATCTTGGTCTAACGATTGCCTTTAGTATGTTGCTGGTGGAGTGGGAGTTGTGTGTAGCTGTATTCTAATCATTGCGTGAACATTTTCAAACTTCAGTGTTTTTTCTTGTACTGCTGTTTGCATTAAAGATGTGTGTGCCCCATGTTGGGTCTCACCGCTGTAATTTCCACATTCCTTCGCATTCACAACCTCCTGTTTCACCTGTGGCTGTACCTCATTTCTTTCCCATTCCTGGCATTAAAAATCTTGCATGGGATTTGGGTTTTCCTGCTGTTGGAAGTACCGCCCCGCAGACTAAAGTGAACCGTCCATCACTAATCCTGTACAAACTCTGGATGTATTAACAATTTGTCAATTAAAGATTCCAACTTTTGAATGACTTCCAAACACACAGTCTTCGCTATTTCATATGAGTGAAAGGAAGCTTTAAGTTCACTGGTTTTGCAGATGTCTTCACACCACAAAACTGCAACTTCAGCACCAAAAGATGACTAATCACAAAAGGCTGGAGACAAAACAGAAATGATTAAAAATACTTTAATCAATGTTTATTTGAACTTTACAAAATGTAATGTCTTCACTTGTACAAAATTACTAATATCTGTGTTCTGGGGGGAAAAAATTAGTCAGATTCAAGGCTCTTGAGCAAAGACTGAGATATGCTGCTGATCGCACCGAATGTGGCGCTGTCTGGAAAGGATGTGGTAAAGTCTTTGCCTTCCTCTAAGCTGGCACTGAGAAGAGGATCCAAAGGAACAGAACCTGAAATGAGAAAGTTAAAGTCTACATTAACGCCACAAACTGCCACATTACTGATCAAACATTCAGGCACAGTTTGAGCACAACCAATGCAAGTCCAATTTCAGGGGGTTTTCAAGAACCACGGTTCTATTAATCTACCATCTGTACTCATTAAAATTGTTAATGATCTGCATTCAAGACGGAAATAAATGAGTGCCACAACCATTTTAGCAGCATTCTACAGACTCATGTTATACGTGGAGACACCTTTTGGCTGTGAATTGGTACTACAAAGTATCAACCCCACCTAGAAAAACTGATCCGGTTAGTTTGGCCAACTCTTCACCTCCACCCTTTGAGAAAATGTTGCTGCATTCCTGTAAATAAAAAATAACTGATTTGTAAGTAAACATTTTGGCATCTCCAAACAATATTGACCATTTTTCAATATACAGATAACTATTCCAAATGTGGGAATTACAGTTGATGGTTAAAGAAAAAGAGTATTACTCACAGAACAATGTGGACAAACAAAGCCACTCATGTTCTCTACAATTCCCAGGATCCGAACACCGGTCTTCTTACAGAAGGTGATCTCTCTCCGCACATCGCCTGTGGATACTGCCTGTAACCAGTGCAATACAAAATGCAACTACTGGTTTGCCTCAGTTTTAATTTTGAAACATTACAAAAAGGTAATGCAGGAATTATCTTTTTATTTACTCACAGGGTAAACTTGGTTCACTGTTTACCTGAGGTGTGGTGACCAATACAGCTCCATCCACTTTATGTTTTTTTAGGCTTTCCAGTACAGCCAAATGCTCATCCGATGTCCCCGGCGGCGTGTCCACCAGCAGGACATCCAGCTCCCCCCATGCTACATCTGACACAAACTGGCCAATTAAAGCTGGTGGAAAAAGGGACAGTTAGCAAAGGAATTATTTCAAGACCAAATCCTGCTGAACACCACTTTGAAAACTATTTTATTCTCTGATCCAAAAAATACGTTTTTGAAGACTACCTTCTTCCACTTAAATTGTTAAACTATATATCTTAACACACAATGGTTAGTAACGCTGTAAGGAAACAGCTGGATTATTCTTGTACAAGAAGAAAAACTGGGGTTCTGAGCTGCATCTTTTGAGTCCTTGTTCGAAAACCCATGACCTTTGATTGAGTCCAAGTTTTCTGACAGCACATTTATCTCCAAACTAACTCCATAGTCATGAGATCTCATCATTGCCTGCACAGACCCAAGACACCCCCGTGCCAGATTCAACAGTCCTCCACGGTCAGTTCAGCTCTATAAATGGCGGACTGTGTGATCCATCACTGATGTACTTTGACCTTATTCTGGTCTCTTTATCTCTCTGTTCAAGTCAAGATTCTATGGATGCTATAGGCCGGTTGGCTACAGGCCTGTGGACTTTAAACCTCTAAGTATGTGCAGTTTTGGTCACAGAAGCATCAAGCTGCTGGGAGATCATCTATAGCCTTTATCTCTACAAAGCCTGTCTATAATCGTCTATGTGAGACAAGAAATTTCAAAAAGAATTAGTTGCATTGGTTAATTTCCATTTCCATTATTAGTCATGTTGATTTCAAATAAAAATCTTTTTTTTTTTTTATGATTGTAACAATATTTAGATTTAATTGAAAGTGTGTTGATTTAAAAAATAAAATCCTATTGTTTTAAAGGTGGCTTTGCTTTACATGGCCTACCTGTTTTCTTAGGGCCCCTCCACACCACAGCTTCATCCGGATCTTCCATCAGGAAACCAATGGACATCAGTGCCAAACTCTTCTGAGCGTCCGTGTAGACTGGTACCCATCCTGAATCACACTGGTGCACTTCTGGTCGTCCAACGCTGAGCATACGTGGGATACTGGGCCCACAAAGGTCCACATCAAGAATCCCAACCTGGACATAAAACAGTATTAGTTTGGTTGTGCAGGCAGGTTATATCTAGCAGGGCTGCAGGACTCACCTTCTTGCCGACATGCCTCAGCGCCAAGGCCAGCTCTGTGGTAATGGTGCTCTTTCCAACACCACCCTTTCCCGACAGAACCAGCACAACATGGCGAACCAGAGCCAAGCTCCCATCTACAAGCAAATAAAAAATTTACATCAGGGGTCTTCGATTTCCAGGCCAAGGACCCCCAAACTGATGGCGAAATGGAGCGGGGACTCCATAATTATATATTGTATAAAATTATGTTATATCGAACTGGTCCTATAGTCGCTCTATTACAGATGGAGTAATGTAACGAAAGTAATTTCGCCCTGGGATTATTAAAGTATTTCTGATTCTGATTCCTCATTGATGGGACAGGTGTTTTGAATGAAACAGTGCCCAGCTTGAAAGAGCTCTTGTGTGTCGCTGAATGGTTGCATTGAAAGACATCTCATGCCTCCATTTAACTGTTTACTACAGTGTGTTGAATTCATGTTAATGTGTATTTAAAGACATGTCAATTACTGAAAAAATTGCAGGGGGAATAATAAAAAAAAAGTCTAAACCAAAACTTTTGCGACCCCCGTGCAGTACCTCTGTTGTCCCCCTAGGGGTCGCGCACCCCCTGTTGAAGACCTCCGATTTACATTATTAAAGAAAACAGCCATTAATGTAGAAATCTGAGCTAATTTTCCCTTCAATAAAATGACTGACATGGGTTATTATTGGTCGATTTTGTTTTAAATATAGTAATTAAATGTACGTTCTGCAAACACAAACTATCCATTATATTTTCGTTAGTGTAATGAGCGGAATGCAGTGTAATGTTGGAAAGTTCCAGTTAGCTTTAGCAAACGGATCAGTGAAGTTCACATCCAGCTGTATTTAAGGCAATTAGATTCAGTTCATGTGACGATAAACCAGCTGTTCGGAGCGATAAATCGCCTAAATTTCCAGTATCTCTTACCTACCATTATTCTGCTCCATAGTAGAGATGAAGGATCTAAAGTATGCACATGAACATAGGAGAGAAACAATAACTTCCGGTGTCGTCATACACCAATCACATGCGTTAAATGACCGGAAGTCCCGCCTCTTTATGCAACGTAAGCTGAAATAGTCATCAATGCCTCCAGTAGATGAAAATCTTTTTATTTATGTTCTTTAGATCAAACTTTACTAGTATCTTCAACAAACTGGACTAAACCTTAGGATTTAAGGAAACATAAATAAGATCAAGTAGGTGGCGATAATGCTCCATTTGGTTGCAAGACGCCAGTAAAACAAGAAGAAGAAGAAGAAACTTGTTTACTAGTTTTTATTTAATTTGCACAATTTGAGTAAAATCAATGCAGTTAGAATGTGACTCAGACTTAATTTCTCTGCTCCATGTTGTCACCGGATGTACTTTAGTTTTAAAGCATGCATACTAAGAATGATAGTTTGTAACTAGTTATATTTACTCAGTTAAATTTACTTGAGTAACTTTTTAATAAAATTTTACTTTTAGTAGTTTTACTGCAGCATACTTTACTACTTTTACATACTTACATACTTTTAGTTGAGTAATATGTTTGTAAAATATTGATACTCTTACTTGAGTAAAATTTGTGGCTACTCCATAGAGAGTTATGACTTGGACAGATTTATTTTTTGTGTACACGAATGTAAACAAAAATAAATTTTGTTTCAGCTCTCAAGACAATTAATTTTTTCAAAGTGCAACCTTGAAAACAGTAAAAAAAAAAAAAATACTAAAACATTAATATAAACATATGACTGTATATTTACAGTTCTAACATTTCCGGGGGTTTTTTCTCAGTTAAATTATCATAAAACAACGCAATAAATTCTACCTTTCCACCAAAATACTAGAATTGAAAATTTGAATAATATTGAATTTTCCAAAAGTGGGATGATATGGAAAAATACACCTTTCAAACGGAACAGAATGGAGAAAATTATGCATCCATATTTACAGGTGCTGGTCATAAAATTAGAATATCATGAAAAAGTAGATTGATTTCAGTAATTCCATTTAAAAAGTGAAACTTGTATATTATATTCATACATTACATACAAACTCATATATTTCAGATGTTTATTTTGTTTAATTTTGATGATTACAAATGACAACAAATGAAAATCTCAAATTCATCATATCAGAAAATTAGAATATTACTGAAGACCAATAAAAACAAAGGATTTATAGAAATGTTGGCCAACTGAAAAGTATGAACATGAAAGGTATGAGCATGTACAGCACATCCCAGAGGGAAATTACTTATCTGCATTTGACCCATCCCCTTGGGGAGCAGTGAGCTGCCATTGTGCGGCGCCCGGGGAGCAGTGTGGGGTTAAGGGTCTTGCTCAGGGATCCGGAGTGGCCGTCTGTGGTGGATCAAACTCACAACCTCAGGATTCAAAGCCCTATGCCCTAACCACTAGGCCGCCACTCCCCAGATAGGGTATCTGGTGCTGGTCCTCAAGGTCTCTGAATAGGGTGTGTAACATCGGTTGAGCTGAAAATGGCATGTTTGCTTTTCTATGAGCCCTAATGGAAGCCTGGTTAAAAGCCCTAGAATGAAACTACAGGTTTTCTTCATTTTATGTTATGCTCATGAATATTTAGATGAGCTGTGCGCTGATTGGTTGGTTTACAACAAGCAAAGCTGCTGAGCAAAGACGCATCATAGCAACAAGAACTCACTCACTGAAACATCGAAATTGTTGATATGGTAGGGTGACCGGACGTCCTCTTTTTCCTGGATATGTCCTAATTTTCATACCTAACAAAATGTCTGGGGGGGGATTTCAAAACAGTCCGGGATTTTGGTCGACTACAGTGCAGCACATAGTCGAAACACACCGGGCATTCGAACCGAGCCGTCCGCTCTGGGGCTGATCCAGAAACCCCGGCGGAATGGGGCAAGAAGCCAGCGGAGGACAGAGCGACCAAATCTGAACCGTTGACAGTAGCCTGGACACTGGCACCCCTGTGCTTTCCCCGCCTGCCTTACCGGCCCCAGCCCCCCCTCCTCCGGCTGTTTACGGGCGACTCATGGACTGTACAAAAGTACAGGCCAAAAACAAATAAGGCAACTGTCATGATTTTACTGAGGTTCAGACCCAAATGCAGAAGACCAAACAGGGAGACCAGGAAAAAGGTTTAACAGGTTTTATTGAAGAGATAATTCAGAGAGAAGTGTTGCTCATAACACGGATCAACCAGAACTGAAAAGTGAGGGGAAGACACAGCATTAGTTCAGGTTCAGTGGGAAATTTGAACTTGGAAAAGAGGATTTGGTTGCTGACTCACGGTTCCAGAGAAGTTGTTGTATCCTTGACTCCAGTCTTTATGCTGTAGTTCTAGTGTTTGTCTGATTCGGTGGAGGGCGGAACAGGGTTTACCCAGAAAGCGGTTGTTGAAAGGTGAATGGAGAAAACTGATTGTCACTGAGATTTCCTGCGGTACTTGAACAGGTCGTAGTGGAGAATAATCCCTTTCCCAGTGCGAAACTCAAACGATCTCTTGGGGAAAGTGGATCCAAACCTCCTGTTTGAAAACCAGCTCGGTTTGTAGCTCAGTTGATCCTTCCAGGGAGAGACGGTCCAAAAAATCCAGTTAGCAGGATGACTTCCTGCCGAGAGGCAAAAGAGAAACAATGTTAAAACTCAGGTTGACAAGAACTCAGTTAGACTCAGCTAAACTAAGCTTGGCTAGAGTACCCAAAACTGGCAAACACTCTGGCGTCGAGGTTGTTGCAATCAGCAGCTTAAGAACGCTCCGTTAATGGAGTAACCATCAGCAGGTGTGTGAGGAGGTGGACCAGAACCAGGCGCCTCCTGGTGGAGGAAGGAAGACAAACACAGAAAACACAAACAGACAGACAGGAGTCCTGACAGCAACATCGCCGAGTTTACATCAACTTGGGGCTTCGTTTGGATTTGCCCGTTTTACGGTAAAAGTTTACAATTGTGAGATGTCAGAGAAAGGAGGTGTAGATGGGGTATGATCTTTACTGCACATCCTGAACTATTGTTATTCATCTATGACAATGTAAACTCTGTTTTGCATTCTATGACCCCTTTAACTTAAAAAAAACATGCACTGAAAAAGTGGAGGGTGATCCTGACCAACTGGTAGCTGATTGGAAACTCAGAAATATTATCGTTATGCAATCAGTAAGAACACCATAGCTAATTACTACCAGACTGCATGAAGCACTTTTTGTCTGGAAGTTGTTACGGCTGGAAGAAGAATCAAAGTTGCTTCTTTTCAGCATCAGTAAGATGAGTAAAAATGAAGTAAGAGGAGTCACACAAGCCCTGTAAAGCCTGTAGAAGAGCATTAAATCTATGGAACAATCTGGGCTGCTGCATCTGAGACTAGATTTCTGAGGGTTCTGATTATTTCATTATTCTCTGCCATTTTGTGCTTTTATCATTTTGCATTTGACTATTTCGCCTCCAGAAAGAAGGTGGTATCTATAACACATCAATTCATATCCACCTTGGGGACACTTCAGTGAATTTGCAAGAGGTAAATTGATGTGGAGCCTACTTAGGATTAAAGCTGCATTGGAAAATGTTGACTTCTCACTGGAAATCTTAGATTGGTACATTTTAAACTAATGCGCTATTCGTATTATCCATAAGGCAAAGCTTGAACTTTTTTCTTTTCATTACAACAATTCGAAGTATAGGTCTAAATTCATTTATTTTAAACTTCTTTACTACTTGGAATTGCCCATCTTTTGGTCACTGTGGGACTTTAGGTCTATCCATCACCCCTGTCAGTGGGCAAACCGAACCTCTGCATGAGTTACCACAGACACATCTGCAGAGAATATGCCGTGAAATTGTGTGGGGCCATGTGCTCCTTTTAAAGCTCTTCTCGTCGTCCACTGGGGCTCCATGTCGATAGGACAGAAGCATCCAGAAGGCAGCCACCTCCTTCTGTGAAATAGCTTCTTTTATTTTGCAAATCATGACAATTAAATATAGTGACATTAAAATCATGGATGGGTTAGTTAAAGTAAAAATTCAGTGCTTCCAACTTTAGAGTTCAAACTTAATATTACATACAGTATGTGAGTAATTGAGAAATGGATAAACAATAATCCTAATGAGGTGAAGAAGACTTTGATCAGACAAGGGGAGTAAAGTCTATTATTTATTTATTTTGTTTTATTTGGAAGGACTATCAAAACTGTTATTGTTATACCCCCCCACTTATACACAGATAATTTAGACATTTTACAGATCTCTATTTATTTTATTTGCTCTTTCATCAAATGTACTCTGGTTTTGTTACTTATTATATTCTATAATTTTTTTTGGGGTTTTCTTATTTTAGTTGCATATGTTTTCTCTTACATTTCACTTAGGGGGGGGAGGATTTACCATCAGGCAATAACAACCCAGGGCCCCCAACTCCCTGGGGGCCCCAAAAAGCTCTGTTTACATGTATAGTAAATACAACTATTCCTTATTTGTCGACATTAATTATATTTTTGATAGAAATCCTTTCACTAAAATGGCACCAGAACGCTGATAATATTAAGTGTGTCCCCTTCAGTGTCCACCATATTGGATCAGTCCATTTGCTGCACATGTTCAGAAAGGTCCAAACAGAAAGCAGCAAACCATTTGAAAACAAACGATACGAAGAGCAGTGTTGCTAACTTAGCTCTTTAGTCACTATATTTAGCGACCTTTCAGACCCCTCTAGCACTTTGATTTCTAAAAAGCTCCTAGCGCCAAATCTAGCCACTTTTTTCTGCTACTGGATACCTTGTCAACAACATCTAAAAGCAGCGAACTCTGCCCTCCATAGCGAGTAGATTTGTAACCCCGCCTCCTGCTCTCCTCTATCTTGTCTGCTGTCATGATTCACGCAGCTATTATTTCATCCAAATGAAAAATGGAGAACAGATAAGCAGATCATGGCTTGTCTACAGTGAAAAGAAGGACTGGGTTATTTACTTTTGCCTTTTTGGAAACACAGGAAGGAGCAATCAGCTAAGTGAGCTTAGTGATGGGAAAAAATCTTTCATTCCTTTTGAGACAGCATGAAAAGTCAGCTGAGTACAAAACTTCCGAAATCCGCCCCTGATTACAGGTGCTGGTCATAAAATTAGAATATCATGAAAAAGTAGATTGATTTCAGTAATTCCATTTAAAAAGTGAAACTTGTATATTATATTCATACATTACATACAAACTCATATATTTCAGATGTTTATTTTGTTTAATTTTGATGATTACAAATGACAACAAATGAAAATCTCAAATTCATCATATCAGAAAATTAGAATATTACTGAAGACCAATAAAAACAAAGGATTTATAGAAATGTTGGCCAACTGAAAAGTATGAACATGAAAAGTATGAGCATGTACAGCACTCAGTATTTAGTTGGGCCTCCTTTGGCCTGTATTACTGCAGCAATGCGGCGTGGCATGGAGTCGATCAGTCTGTGGCACTGCTCAGGTGTTATGATAGCCCAGGTTGCTCTAATAGTGGCTTTTAGCTCTTCTGAATTGTTGGGTCTGGTGTATTGCATCTTCTTCTTCACAATACCCCATAGATTTTCTATGGGGTTAAGGTCAGGAGAGTTTGCTGGCCAATTAAGAACAGGGATACCATGGTCCTTCAACCAGGTACTGGTAGCTTTGGCACTGTGTGCAGGTGCCAAGTCCTGTTGGAAAATGAAATCTGCATCTCCAAAAAGTTGGTCAGCTGCAGGAAGCATGAAGTGCTCTAAAACTTCCTGGTATGTGGCTGTGTTGACCCTGGACCTCAGAAAACACAATGGACCAACACCAGCAGATGACATGGCACCCCAAACCATCACTGACTGTGGAAACTTTACACTGGACTTCAAGCAACGTGGATGAAGTGCCTCTCTTCTTTTCCTCCAGACTCTGGGACCTTGATTTCCAAAGGAAATGCAAAATTTACTTTCATCAGAGAACATGACTTTGGACCACTCACCAGCAGTCCAGTCCTGTTTCTCTTTAGCCCAGGCAAGACGCTTCTGACGCTGTCTGTGGTTCAAGAGTGGCTTGACACAAGGAATGCGACAGCAGAAACCCATGTCTTTCATACGTCTGTGTGTGGTGGTTCTTGAAGCACTCACTCCAGCTGCAGTCCACTCTTTGTGAATGTCCCCCACATTTTTGAAGGGGTTTTGTTTCACAATCCTCTCCAGGGTGCGGTTATCTCTCTTGCTTGTACACTTTTTTCGACCACATCTTTTCCTTCCCTTCGCCTCTCTATTAATGTGCTTGGACACTGAGCTCTGTGAACAGCCAGCCTCTTTAGCGATGACCTTTTGTGTCTTGCCCTCCTTGTGCAAGGTGTCGATGGTCGTCTTTTGGACAACTGTCAAGTCAGCAGTCTTCCCCATGATTGTGTAGCCTATAGAACTAGACTGAAAGACCATTTAAAGGCTTTTGCAGGTGGTTTGAGTTAATTAGCTGATTAGAGTGTGGCACCAGGGGCCATCAATTTTGAACCTTTTCACAATATTCTAATTTTCTGATATGATGAATTTGAGATTTTCATTTGTTGTCATTTGTAATCATCAAAATTAAACAAAATAAACATCTGAAATATATGAGTTTGTATGTAATGTATGAATATAATATACAAGTTTCACTTTTTAAATGGAATTACTGAAATCAATCTACTTTTTCATGATATTCTAATTTTATGACCAGCACCTGTACATTTCAGCGCCATACGCGCGCGCTCTGTGGGGCGCATGGAAGAAACAGCGCCCCCTGTAGTCAGAATACAGCATCGACTCCGCTCCATTGTCACTGCCCATTCCCAAATCATCCATCCAGTGGAATCTCTGCTGAAACGGGCTTTATATCTGTTAATAAAAACATTATACTTTTTCTCAAACTGATGCAAACATTACATTTGCTTTTTTGTTTGTTTATTTTGTTTACTCCAAATTGCCATGACGTAGAAAACCAATCACATGATAGGCTTTCTGTAGGTTGAATGTGGACAGACAAGAATGCATGAACTCCTCCTCTGTGAAGCTGTGATCCAATAGGAGCGCAGTGGGGGCGTGGACAGGTTCTGTTTACTTCTGTCCTGCAGAGAAGTGGGACAGGCTGAAGGCTGCAGCTGTCACACATAAAGAAACATCCACATGAGCCAGTGCAACACGGTGTTCAGGAAGACCTCTGCAAGGTAAGAACATGAGCTAAAGCTGCTCAGAGGCTGCTCCATTTTTATAACGAATAAAGTACAGAGCAGAGTTTAATAAAGAGTAGTGAGGGAAAGCAGAAAGAGAAGGACCTGGATGTTTTTATTTAGTTTCTGACTGAATTCACTGTAGGTTGTCCTGACTCAGACCTCTACATGCATGCTTGGTATTTAGGGTAAGGCTCAATTAAAACGACACCTGCTCTAGACCTGCTAATCTAAATGAACTGCAATTATCTGCTGCACCTGCTTGGAAAGGAAGTGAGCAGCTGCTGGTATTAACATGCCATCAGGTCCAGGTCAGGTCCTTATAACAGAACAGCAAAACAAGTGGTGACAGCAAGACAAGTGGTGAACATATCAGTAAAGGATTTCATAAATGAATTTGCAGGGATCGCTTTCTGCAACTGTTTAATTTATTTAGAAGGGGGAAAAACAGTGTTCTGTTGTTTTTTGATTGGAGAATCAGAAGCTGTTAATAAGGCCTTACAGATGATCCACATCACTCTTCAATGTTTTTTCTGCTTTTCTCCTTTGCCTCCAAACAAACAGATGGGTCCTTTGTGTTACAGTCTGGAAAATACCAGAAAACTCTGGTTACCCTTTTCACCTATGATTCCATCTGAAAAACAAAACAGAATTTACAATTGTTTAAGTTTGAATCACAAGCAAATAGTTTGTTTTACAAGTTTACAGCTATAGTTTTAGTCAAACTAAGTCTTTTTGTGTTTGAAGATGATAATGGTCATTTAAAAATGTTTAAAACATTTCACCATGTTCCATTTTATTGGGCTGTGAACTGGTCCTAAGGGACTTGAACTGGGTCTGGGGGTTAAATGGCAAATAATTGAGATGTCTCAAAAATCTTAAAAGTTATCTTTTGACACCCATATCATCCCATATCATCATGCTTTCAGCACAGATAGCATAACTTCCAAAATCTTACGTTGTTTTTGTTACTTTTTAAATGCACACTTATTTATTCAACCTTATGGGGGCTTATTTTACAGCATGAAACAAAATAAACCCAGATGAATTTGTCTTTAATTGTTGTTGTAATATCATCAGGAGAATTCTGTCCAGATATTTTAAAGTAACATGAACAAATATTTTCAAGATATATAAAAATGTAAAATAATAAATGGAAAAATAGCCATTTAAAGTGTTACTTGATATTTGGGTTGTGAATAGACTACAAAATAATTAAATTTTTCCATACTGTAAAATGGGAATATTTTGGAGCTAACTAAACCTCTGTGGGAATCCTTGCATATTTGTTTAGATCTAAAAGCAAGTATTTCTAAGCGTTTCTTGGAGTCGGACGGCTTCCAAGCAAGCTGCTGTTGCATACAGCCATATCAGGTTTGCATGGATGTTCGTCACGAGCTGACTGGAACATATGGGAACAGATAGAAACAGGAGAGGCTGCATCTATAGATCATTTGGTAGAGATGTCTCTTGGGAGTGTTTTGCTGACTACAGGAGCCAAGAAGGTAAGTTAAAAGTAAACAAACAGTGGGAGTGACCTATTTGTAGCTTGTACAGAGGTGTGTGAGATATTTGACAGGAGAAGAATAAGGTGTGTTTCTTCAGTTCTGGTCCAAGTCCTGCATAGCCAAAAAAAAAAAAAAAAAAGCAATAATCCCAAGTATGTTCAGTGCATGCCAGGAGGTCATAGTGTCCATAAGTAAGGCTAACATGGCCTGCAGCACGTATGCCAGCCGGTCCTTAGGTCTTATGTTTGGCTGTCCACAGAGCTGCCATGCTGAGACGAGGCAGGAGCAGCAGGCCTCGACATTTGGCCTGGAGTGAAACAAAGCAGGACACAGATGTCATGGCAGCTGTCCACCCCACAGACAAGGAGGAGAGAGAGAGCAAAGCAGTGACACAGGTGAGGTGTCTGCAAGTTGAGGCAAGAGAAGAAAAGCAGTTTAACATTCAGTTAACTTGACCTAATCTGTTTGGAATCTGTGCTAAGAGCACAGAAAATAAGACATCTCTAGTGGTTTTACTTCTAGAACCACCTCTTCCTGAAATTACAGCTCAAGCCTTTTGGTGCATAAATCTACAAGATTACACTTTTGATAATATCTCTTTATGAAAATCACCTCCAGCTCAGTCAGAACTACAGGATTCTGCAAAGGTTCTGCTGGGTTTAGGTCTGGACTTCGACTGGGCAATACTAATACATAAATGTTTTATATGTTTATGGTCATTGTCCTGCTGGAAACTGAACCTCTAACCCAATCTCAGTTCTTTTAGAGAACAAGTTTTCTTCCATTATTTTCCTATATAAAGCACCAGCCAGCTTCACACAGTATGATGCTGCCAAAATGCTGTCCTTTCCCAGCCTGTCAGTTAAGGTAGACCGTCCACGTCTAAGATGGATTGAACGGAAATCTGGGAGATGTGAAAGATTATGAGAAAAAGGGGTCAAAATGAAGTAAAAATGGGAAATATAGATAAAAGAAAAATCTGGAATCAGTTGGTTCTTTATATATTTGTACAGAAAAAGAGCAAAAAAAAAGTTAACTGATTTTTAAATTTTATTTCAGTTTAACATGGGAAAAAAGTCAGAATTCTGACTTTTTTCTCAGAATTCTGAGATTAAAGTCCGAATTCTGACTTTTTTCTCAGAATTCTGAGATCAAAGTCAGAATTCTGAATTTTTTCCCATGTTAAACTGAAATAAAATTTAAAAATCAGTTAACTTTTTTTTTTTTTTTCAGTGGCCCTAATCCTCTTTATATATTTGAATACTTAATAGTTGGATGTTTAAAACATAGAAGGATATTTCCACCTGAGGTCCAGTAATTTTCCACTGCCAGAAGTAGCTGTATGTGGAAGTTGTGAGCAGAGGAGGTCCAGTATTTTTGGAAGGCTTCTTATTTTACAGGGTAGCACACATGACTTCCACTCAAACCATGTAAGGGCAAGACAATCTTGATGAGTTTTAAAAAAGTTGAAGCAAACGTGTGAATTTGGATCATAAGACTTTAGGAACACAACAGACCGGTTGTTTTGTGCGGTCGTTGGACTTTAGGGTTGAGTCACAAAAATGTTAAATATCAGCCTGAGGCTCTTCTGCTGGAACTAACTCTTCTTCTGCACACTACAGGAATATGTCTGTGGACTCAATGTTGTCTTTGTACCGCCTGGATCTCCTAGATTGTTGACTCGGAGTCTGAGATGGATCATCTGGTTGGAACTGGAGCTGTGGCTGAGATTGTGCTTATGCCATGCGGTGCACCAATTAAACAGGACTCGTTCTCCCTCTGCGAGCAGCAGGAGGATCTGAGCCTGGGATTATCGGCCACTGAGGACTGGTTCGGCAGGGAGGAGGACCAGGGTGAGCCACAACTGCTTTTAAAAACACAGATTTAACACTTTAAAGAAGCATAAAACTCATTCTTATACAACTATATATGTTTTAATCTATGAGCACAAATCATGTTGGAATCAGTTTGTTCTCATTTTGATTCATTATTATTAGTAGTTCAGGAAACATTAGGATTTAGCCTATAATGTTGTTCACATTAATGTTTCCTACAGTTTTCTGTGCTTAAAGATGATAGCCGGTCAGATCATTTAAGTCATTAAGCAGCTAATAATGCACTATATTCACAGAGATTAACCAAGTTTGAGTTTCTTTCTGGGCAGTATTGGTAAAACAGATGGATGAAGTGAAACTGAAGATTTGTGCAGAAGAGGAAGGAGGTCTTGAGGCGTTCAAAGAAAACAGTTTAAAAATGTTAGAAAAATCATGCATGTATGCATGCATCTTAAACTTGAAAAGAAAACATGAAATTATATAAAAAGTGACAAAATCTGTCAAAAAAACATACTAGTAAGGGGGGAAAAGCAGAATCTTCATCACTAATACCCTCTGCAGCTCATGACATATGTGCAAACTTCCTTACTACGTATCAGGGATATCTAATTCTAAAGATATAATAAAAACATTATGAGCAAAGCATCTTTTTACAAAACCAGTTCAGAGAAGAAAAGAAGCTTTGTAAAAGGCTGAGCATGTTTAACCTACGGGCTTCCTGGTTAAAAGTTGCAGTTAATGCATTCATTAACCATGTACTAAAAAAACAAAGAACTTAAACTTTAACACTACATTAATGTTTTAGCCCACCGGTTGGCTTTCTCCTCATTGATATTCGTTGACATGTTTTCTGTGGTTTGTAGCAAGACCTCTTCCTGCATCCACTGCAGGACTGAACTGGTAGCAAGTTTGTGCAACCTGTGAAATAAAACACATTGTGCTTATTTTCTCAGTGTTTGACTGGGTGTGGGACGAGCACTGTAAGTCTTCAGGAGCCTCCCTCAGCTGCGACAACAGGAAGGTGAGCTTCCACTCGGACTACAGCTGCGGCACCGCTGCCATCCGAGGAACCAGGGAGCTGTCGGAGGGCCAGCACTACTGGGAAGTGAAGATGACTTCTCCTGTCTATGGAACGGACGTGGTCAGTTTCCTTAAGCTACTTAACATCTGAACCGGCCTTTTTTTTTATAATGCCTTGCAAAGCTTTTCACATGACTTGGATCTTTGCATTTTAGTCGTATTCCACAGTCTCCATATGGATTTTCTGTGATAGACTTGCATACTCCAGCAATGAGTGGCCGGAAAAGGAAACCTACATTAATGTATTTGTATTTTTTGTCTTGATCCCTTCCAGCTCTGGACATGCTTGGTCAGATGGGATAAAAAAACATCTGTAAATATTAATTAACGGATTTTTAGATTGTTTTAGGTCCGACTGGAGTGTAGTTCTTGTTTCTAGACCTTTGCAAACTCTAACAGATTTCCTACCAGAAATGTTCCAATTTTCTTTATTCATCTATTTATCTGTGATCAGCTTCTCTGTATGGAGGACCAACTCTGCCATATTTAAAAATAAATACAGAAATGAATATAATAAATAAATAAGCAACTAATTCCTAATCTTCGAATCTAATCTTCTAATCTTCAACTAATCACCCCCAAAAATACAATCAACAAATAAATGTAGGTAAAAATTTCAATTATACAGAGAGACATAAATGTATTTATCTCTTTTAATTAGCTTCTTTATTTATTCGCCTTTGTAATAATTACCTTATTTATTTATTGTCTGTTATAATCTTCAACTTTATTTATTTATTACTTATCTTTTTATTTATTTATGTTCATGATATGATATTTTTGTCTTTTTTATTCTTCCTTTGTATTTTTTTACCCTCTTTAGTCCTTCAATGCCATTTATTTCTGCCTGTTGTTTTTACATTTCTGTCTGCATTTCTGCCTCATTATGTAAATGAGATGGGGTGTGTCTTAGAGGGTCAACTTCTAGAGGGTAATAATACAAAGGCGAATAAAAAAAGAAGCTTATTAAAAGAGATATATGCATTTATGTCTGTGTATAATTTAATTTCTACCTATATTTATTTTTTTATTATACATTTGGGGCAATTAATTGAATGCTTATTTATTTATTGAGCATTTATATATTTCTGTATTTATTTTTAAACATGGCAGAGTTAGTCCTGCATACCTCTGTCCCTGGTGATGATAGATTTGTCCACAGCATATTTAATCTCTTGTTATATTTTAGTCTGTTTTTTTCTTTCTCTTGCAAACTAGACTTCTGTTACTGTATTTCATCAAAAGCTTTTCTCTGGATTAAATACTTGTTCCGCCAGAAGAGCTGTAATTTTCCTGCTGCACTGTCATAGATTGTTTTGTTTTTTTAAGTGTCTTTCAGTGATGAATGATATAGGTTTTAAAATTTAATGCTGATCAAAAAAAAAATGTCTTAAATTATTGGTTGAACTACATTTAATTAAGGGAAACTAATGGAAACTTGAAAATCCCTTATTTTCTTCTATTGCTCGGATTTATGTTTGGTCAGTGACCTAGAACTATAATGAAATGCCTAAAGGTTTTCATGTGACGGTATATGAATACTTTTCCAATCCACCTGAGTGTATCTTGACGGCCCTTACTAGTAAAGCTCAAGCTCCACTCTCCAAAATTGCTAAATCAATTGCTTTTGCATGTGACAATTATTACAGAGGTATGTTACTTTTATGCAACCTAATTCAGGCTTGAATGGTTTATAAAAAAAAATTAATAATAATCACTTCAGTTTTATTTGATCCAGTAAGAACAATATCTGTAACCCTAAAAGCAAATCAAATGCTGTATTACAGTGAATAAATATCTTCAATTTTTTCCTTATTCGCCCTTAATACCTGCCTATTCAACTTTTGACAATAGAAAGAATCCCAGCACTTATTATTATTCACAAAGAAGTAAACACCATCAGCTTGGTGTTTACTTTTTTTTTTTTTTATCTCCTTTCTCATTTGGACTTTTGTTTTCCTCTGTAGATGGTGGGGGTTGGAACTTCTGAAGTGAACTTAGACAAGTTTAAATACAGCTTTGGAAGCCTGCTGGGCCACGATGAAGACAGCTGGGGGCTCTCATACACAGGTTAGAGTCAATTTGTGAAAGTAACTGATATATATTTTTTTTCTTTTTTGTACCTTTCTGTGCTTTTAAATAAAAAATAATGTTCGTGTTTGAAGGTCTACTCCAACACAAAGGAGACAAAGTGAAATTTTCCCCTCGGTTTGGTCAAGGCTCAATCATAGGAGTTCATTTGGACACATGGCACGGCACGCTGACCTTCTACAAGAACCGGCACTGCATAGGTATGTTTGTCTTTATGCAGATATATCTTCTGCTTTTTCACCTCAGTACTCAGACTGGATCGGTAAAGATCTTCTATATCTGTTAGTTAAAAAATACATCATGTAATCTAACCTATGGATCCAACACATCTCCTAACTTTCCTGTATAATGTATATGTAGTTTTCATACTTAGGTATTTTATAGCTCTCTGTTTATATATACCATTTATACATGCATAGCTTTCTGTACACATATAAATGCAAACTACATTTTATTGCTTTGTACTTGTGACAGTGTAATGACAATAAGTTGAATTCTATTCTAACTATCAACTTGAATGATTAGAAAGGTTGAATGGGGTCATTGAAGGGGGGGGGGGGGGGGGGGGGGGCTCCAATATAACGACAGGAAAAACACTGATATGTATCCTGATGATACACAAATTAATATTTTAGTGTCCATAGTCCACTACAATCAATGAGCCAGTTTGTTTAAAATCTGTCTGGCTGGAACTTACTTAGACTTAGACAGACTTTATTGTCATTTTGTAAACACAGTGTATACAAAAATACATTTTGTTCAGTACAGCTCTCAACACATTTCAATTTGTGTTGCAGCAGCAGTGATCAAATGTAAACATAAGACTGGTATAAAATTTACAGTTTCCAACATTCAGCGCTTGTTTTTCTGTTTTTTTTTTAAACCCGATTTTATACAACATTCATCCGTCAGCACAAACAATGCTCTAATTTTTAATGTCATAGGTTTCAATACTATTATGAACATATATTTATTCTGTTTGTGAGATATTAGATTGTTTAGTCTTTTAGCCTCAGATCCATTTATTGTGATCTAATCTCTTTGTCCCATAAAGCATCTTTTATCACCATGAGCAGTGTACAGTGCTTTATAAATAAACCTGCCTTAACTTCCTGCTAACAGGTGTTGCTGCTACCAGGCTGCAGAGCAAGAAGTTTTACCCCATGGTGTGCTCCACGGCAGCTAAGAGCAGCATGAAGGTGATCTGCGCCAGCTACACGCCCACCTCCCTGCAGTACCTCTGCTGTGCCCGGCTGCGCAGGTGGTTGCCCTGTTGTCCATATGTAGTCAATGCCCTGCAGCTGCCACCAGGCCTACGGACGGTCCTCCAGAAGCGGCTTGGCTGGGTGTTCGCCCTCAGTAGCAGCCCTGACTCATCAGAGGAGGAGGACTACATACCCGACTCCTTCAGGCGGGACACGCACAAGCAGAGGAGCCTGCCTTCGAGCCCGTGCCTCAGCCCATGTGCCTGCGCAGACCCTTATTCTGAAACAGCCCCAGAGTACCACTGCCCCTGCAACACCTCTTCTCAGAACCACTCCACAGTCTGCCACTGTCCTCCGACTCCTCCAAGCAGCGACTATGACAGCTGCTGCTCCGATCCAGAGGATTATCAGTGCAAAAGATGCCGCTGGACGTGACCCGATTGGTTGGTCCAGACTTTTCCTACCATTGCCATCAATGTTTGCTCCCTGCAGTTTCTGCGTGTAGTTAACAGCAGCATCAGTGTTCCTGTTTCCCTCTAAACATCCTAAGTCCGGAGGCAGGAAAAAGTGAAGCCCCTAACGCTATTTTAGCCAATTTGGTTAATTTTAATTAGGTTATTTTTTGTTTCATATTTCAAATGCCACAGTTAATGCCTTTGGAAGAGGCAGACCAGACTCCAAAAACCAGGGAGGAAAACTTTCTGATTATTCTCAGGGATGGACTCTAAGAGGAGAACTTCTTTTTAATACTGTAACAATCTTTTTATAAGTGTTTTTTATTTTTACCTACCTTTGAAGTGAAAAATCAGATGTGTGCAGATACTGTTTTTCTATTTATTGCTTCATATCTGATTGTGAATTTTCTTACCATCCTGTGAAATAAATCCAAAAATGAAATTTATACTTTTATTTTTCTATTCTCAGTGTTTATAAATAACCCTTTACCCATTTAATATTAATGCTGTACACCTTGAGCCACATTGAGACTTTAGAGAAGAATAAAAAAAACTGTTATAATAAAGTAGAAAGGAAAAATTGGAACATCCCTGCTGCTCATTTACTCAGAACAGCTGAAAATAAATCAGATTATAGGAGACTTCAGCAAAATGTAATTCCTCACATTTCAAGTTGCAGCACTTGTTTGTGTTCCTTTTGCCTCAAATCGCTGTTAAACATAAAGACTGAGGAATTGTGTTAAAAGAACAGCTTTGCTTTATAAAAATAAACTTTATTAGCTTTATTTACACGCATAATTGCAGTTAAATTGTTAACATTTAACTTTAAGTCATAAATGCCATGATAGTGTTTTTTTTCTGAAGTTAGGCAGATCAGTCCAGGACCAGCTGAGGGTTCTCTGCTGTCAGGCAGCGGTAGATTCTGGCTGAAATGTCTGGTCCAATCCTTCTTTCTTTGCCTTCTGTTTTCACTGAGAGACCAGCAAGCATTCCCTTCTTCTCCACCTCCGATCCCCAGTTCTGGTACGCCTTAAGTCAGTACATGCAAAAACAAAAACTATTATGACCCCCTTGAGCTTTCTGCAGAATCCACTCTTATTTTCAGCTACAGGTTACCTGCAGCAGGAGCTGAGGAGATGGAAAAGACTCTGCCACAGCAGAAGCCACTGCTGGGCTAACTCTGTTCAGCTGCTGGATCTGCCTGTTCCAGACGTCCCTCAGGCCGGAGCCGTCCCTCTCCACCCGGGCCCCACTGGCCCATGAGCCATCCACGCAGAACGGCAGCTCTGATGCCTCAGTCAGGAGTCTGTAGGGGTCACGTAAATAGAACAAGATTATACTTTGTTTACACAATTATGGAGGAAATGGTAAAAAGATGAGGGAACCCACTTGAAGGGGCGTTTTGACAGAGCCTTGGTTACAGCACACACATGGTCAGTCACGTCCTTCCAGCTGGCCAGAAAAACCACTGAGATGTTTTTGTAGAGCTGCAGATACACGAGCACCTAGAAATGGTTCACACTGGTGAATATTTATGAGCTCAGAGTGAAGGAACTGGAAAGAAAGGGAAAAGTTAACAGTTAAATATTGCAAATGGACCTCCTCCAAGTCCCGATTCCTCATCCCCAGTTTGCTCTGTAGCATCTGTTCTGAGAAACAATCTCCAGACTCTGTGGTCCTGTTGAGAAACCAATAATGTTTACACACAATGTTAAAAATACAAATAGTTTTCCTAGAACAGATATTTAACAAAAATAACAGGTTGTGCTTTATTTAAAAAGTCACGTTGCATTTTGCAAAATGGCTCTTCGAATATAAAAGGTTGCAGACCCAGATGTGTCTCTCTGTTAGCTCGAATCTTATAATTCTGTCCTGTTGGCAAAAATGAGTTGGTAAATGTAATTTTCTTCTGATTTGTGTTTAAATTAAAGATCAGGCATCTTAAAATGTTTCAAAATGAGGCTAAAACACTCCAGGAGGAGATAAAAATGTTCAGCACAGAGGTGCCAAAGGATGTCTACATACTGACCAGTGATCCGACTCAAAGTCCATCACCAACATAGTGACCACCATATTGGGATTCCGGTTTAGACACTCCAAAAGAGGACTGAGGACAGTCCCCATCCCCATCTCCTCCCCTTCACCATCCAACACCTGTAGTGCACAGGAAGTCAATATAAAACCACAGACGTCCCTATTGTGTTATCACAAAGAGTTTCAACAGTTTGATTACATTTTTAACAGACATCACGATGTCCACAAAGTCATCCAGTGTCAGGACCAGAACCATCTGCTCCTCCTCCACACAGGCCTGAGCGTTTTCTCCCTGCTGAGAACCGAGCAGTGATCCACAGACTGAAAACCAGTGAGTGCAACACAGCGAGGCATGAGAGGGGGGGGGGGGGGTCCCACCTGAGGCAAAGCTCTGGTCCAGGTGATGCTCCCACAAACATGTTGGCTCTCAACAGTGAACCTCCACTCCAACATGGCCAAGGTGTCCAGCAAAATATCTGAGCCATCCTGTTGCAGAAGAGCTACAGGGGTCAAAGGTCACATTATAATTCAGTTAATAAATAAATGTAAAAGCAGGATAAAATAAATGTGCATCTGTGAAACATGGAGGATGAGAGTGAAGGCAAAGGTTTAACACCTGGTTCTATGCAAACAGTCAGGCTCTTGATGCAGTTCTCTGGCCGGAGACTCTTTAGGTTTTCTGCGGCCTCTTTCCTCCTCAGCTGCTCCTGCTTCCTCTCCTCCTTCTCCTTTGCCTTCGCAGCCCTCTGTCTCTCCCTCTCCTCCTTCCTCTCCTTGGCTCTCAGTCTGTCCGCCTCCATCTCCTCCTTGCTGCGGCGTTTTCTTGCAGGGCTCGCTGTGCCGCCTCCATCAGGCGCCTCTGGACGCAAAGAAGGTAAAGTGACCCTGGGCTCTGTTGTAGCAGGGCTTTCTGCGGAGCTCTCAACCTCCTGATCTCCTCTACTGTCTTTAGTTTCTTTTTGAAAGCTCGCATCGCGGTTCCAAAGTGGTTTTATTTCATGATCGCTGTCCTCAGATTCAGAGATTTCCCACGCCTTGGTTCTGCGCAGGACAGACATCTCATGTTTACCGGGAAAACTCAATCTGTGAGCTGAAATTTACAGGAAACATCCGAGAGACGGAGCTCTGTTTGTGTAACTGCGACGGTGTCCGCAGAGGGACAAAAGTCCTGAACGCGATACATATATTTGTTTTTATGTTATTTTTATGTTATTTTGTACATTTGGAAATATAAACTTTAAAATGAATAAACAGAGCCGAATGGAGGATTAGATGTAATTCATTAGAAGTAGCAGAAGGAGGTGGGAGGGAGCCACCAGCTTCTCTCACCAAGTGGATCACAAAGCAGATTAGACACCGGCTTTTCCCTGGATCCAGTCAGAGAGCGATGATCTAATTCATTCTTCATTCATTCTTACAGTTAATTAGTAGGTTTACATTAAAATGTTATTATAAAATCTTTTTTTCAGACTATCTACGTAATACAGAAGAGGATGGGGGCCACTGGATTTTTTTTATGTAACTGATTTTTAAATTTTATCTCAGTATAATATGAGAAAAAAAGTCAGAATTCTGGCTTTAATTTTAAAATTCTGACTTCCCCCCCCCCCAGAATTTTGGCTTTAATCTCAGAATTCTGACTCTAATCTCATAATTCTGACTTTAATTTTAGAATTCTGACTTTTTTCTCAGAATTCTGACTTTAATCTCGGAATTCTGACTCTTTTTTTTTTTTTTCAGAATTCTGACTTTTTTTCTCAGAATTCTGACTTTAATCTTAGAATTCTGACTTTTGTTTTTCAGAATTCTGACTTTTTTCTCAAAATTTTGACTTTAATCACATAAATCTGTCTTTATTCTCAGAATTCCCCAGGACCGTTTTAGCTAAAAACTACATTTGTTTAATAGCTTATAATCAGTCAGTTTATATTATTAAATATCCCTATGTATCATGGGATTATTAAAATATTCTCAGAAATGTTCATGTGTAATCATATTGCCATCAACCCTTAATAGGAAATTTGTTTTAGGTTTATGTACAGATTTCAAATATATAAAACATTTTGTAGGACTTCTTAAAATCCGAATAAGTTGATAAATTCTTTTACTAACATTATTAATAGTTTATTATCATCATCATCATCATCATCATTATTGCCGTTTCAATCAAATAAATCTGCAATGTTGTTTATGTAATGTCAATAAAGTTTCAATCAGTCAAAAAAGAACGTCAGTGTGGATTTCCAAGTTGTGCGTTGCGTCACCAGCGGTGCCATCTAAGCTAACAGACCCATCCACATTACTTTAGGATCTGTGGTTTGCAGACGTCTCCTGTTGTAGACTTTTTTTGTTGTTTTTCCCAGCAGCAGCAGTCTGCAGACGTTTTATAGGATGTGAAGCATTATTCTCTCTCTAACAGATACATTTCCTGACAGTATGGCTCAACCAGCCGAAAAAGGTGAGTCTTGTTCATTATTTTTCTTCCTATTTTTCATATTTATTGTGTTTTTACCCTGAACCGCAGCGACTCGTAGCCCAGAGGACCACAAAAGCACTTCCCTGTAAATAGGGTCACTCAGTATTTTAGCCTTTAAAAACACGTGACTTGACCGGAAGTGATATAGTATATACTTTTCTTTATATTCCTTCTGTTAGTAAAGCAGATTTTCTGCTATTCGGTAAAAAAACAAAACAACAACAATAAAGCAAGTTAAATGAATAAAATGTCTACAAAAACGAAATTTCTTGTCATTTATAAGCGAAATTATTGTATTAATAATCATAAATATTTAGTTTCTTGTTCTCCAGACAATCTACCATGGATATAAAAAGCCTCATCTTAATAACTAACATGCGTGAAGACTTTTATATTAATCTAATGTCATTTTCCCCCCCATACTTATGTTGTTTTAATGGATTACACAGAAAATGCTTCACCAAAACTATTCATGCACCTTAACTTTCTGTTTTTAAGAAATTGTCTTCAATATGTCATCTAAAAAAAGAACCAATGTTTTTAAATAAAGAGGTAATAAAATGGTAGCTGATGCAGTTTTCTTATGTTTGCACACACTATTAGTATAACACTTCATGTACAGGAAGACACTAATGGACCCTATTTTAAAGTCATTTTTTTTATGTAATTTTCCATATATAATATCTTGATCGTCAACTGGATTGTAGAAGGTCTAATGATTATTTTGAAAATCGATTAATCTCTTGATAATTTTTTTTGGTTAATTGATTAATAATCGTTTAGCAAATGATTCCTTAAAGAAGACTTTTTACCAAGTTAAACTAGGTGAAACTCAAACTTTTCCACTTGAGGAGTTCTGGATAGAGCATACTGACAGACAAAAAAGGTTTTTTTTTATCTTAAGTGCAAAATATTTATATATTTTTTACAATCTTGATAAAAGTACAGCTCTAAGTGGGTTGCTTTGTGAGCTAAAGGCATGATTTAGAGTCTCTACACTCGAGTTAATGATTAATCGATTACTAAATTAGTTAACAATTATTTCAAAAGTCGATTAATCACAATCTATATATTTATTTAAAATGATTAGGCCTACATTCCCATTAATAGAGAAACTATAAAACAGAACTTTACTTTTTTTATTTTTTTTTATGGGTCATGAAACTTAAACAGCTTCAAACTGATTCAATCTAGTTGTGTTGGTGGATAAAAAAGCATTATGGATTATTATAAAGTTAGCTGATTGTTATGGACCATCTCATAATCAGGGCATAACTGTAAAGTGGAAGTAAAATTCTACATTTTTAAATTCAGTTTATTATTATTAATATTATTATTATTATTACAAATAAGCTGCTCCTTAACCACTTTAAGTCTACTTTAAAAAATCTTGATTTTTTTATTATAGGACAATGTCTAGAAAAGTTTAAGGGTTGTGAATCAACTTCGCAGTGCTCAGTATGTTGTTTTTATTATTAATTATTTTGTTTTTCTGTTTGTCTTTTTTCAGCCTATTACCGCTTCATGGTACTCTTCTTTAACTGCCTGCTGACATTTGGATCTTACTTCTGCTTTGACATCCCCAGTGTCTTACAGGATCAATTTCAAGGGGTAAGATAATGGCAGTGAGGAAAAGCAGCTTTAGTTCATGCACAGGATTAATACTTGTCGCATATTTAACACAGAGCGCTTTATCACTGGCTTGTCTCATGTTGCAGAACCTCACATGTCCCAATGCAACACTGATCAATGGGACTGTGGACTGTGTGGAGGGCCTGGGGATGAGTCCTCAGCAGTACAACCTGCTCTACGCCATATATGCTTGGACGTAAGCAGATCTCCACATTGACTCGTTTGCACATGTGGCGATAAGATGTTTTCCAAGTCAGTGACCGTATCTCCCTCTGATTACCAGAAATGCAGTCGTGGTGATTATGGCAGGGTTCCTGATTGACAAATTAGGAAATCGATGTGAGTTTGCATGCATTGATTAACCTGTGTCATGACACAGAAGACAAAAGGTAACATGCATACCGTTGTGTTTTGCAGTCGGGGTGTTTCTCTTCTCTTTTCTCTGTGTTCTGGGCTCATCTCTGTTTGCCCTCGGTTCCCACTTCAGAGGAACTCCCTACCTCCTTCCGCTCATGCTTACAGGACGTTTATTATTTGGTTCAGGCAATGGATCTTTGACCAGTAAGGGATATATATACATGAATCTTATAATCTCATCTATGAGAAAAGTTCCTACAGCCTTCTTTACATCTCCTGTGTTCTTTTAAGTTGTACAGAACCGCATCACAGCGTTCTGGTTCAAAGGGAAGGAGCTGGCTCTGGCCTTCGGTTTGACTCTGGCCTTTTCCCGTCTGGGTTCGGTTCTAAATTTCTTCCTCACACAGAAATTTGAAGAAAAATATGGCATGCAGTGGACACTCTGGGGTGGTACGTTGAAAAGAACCCGAATGACCACCTGTGAACATGTGTCCCTGTCTCAAAATGACCGTTTTATGTTTTTTTTTTTTTTCTGTATTCTAGGAGCGCTGCTGTGCGTTCTTGGCTTTGTTTCTGCGATTATAGTGAGCGCCCTGGACAAGGTCGGAATGAAACAGCTGGGCCTGGATGGAGCCATCAGAGAGGAGTCCCGCAAAGTGGTCAGTCTACCTCGTTCACACCAATGAGTACAGAAAACAGGAGAATCATTGAGCTTTCAATGATTTAAGTGAACCATTTTTATATTTGGGGACAGTAGCCGTTCTATAAAGGCATCAACAAAAGAACAAAACAAAAAACATGGAAATAGTTCATTATTGGGAGTATTAAGTGAACCAAATAGCCATTTGCTGCACTGAAGTCTCAGATAAAGCAGATAAAAACTCATCACAGTATGACTAAAGATAAAAGTGCAACATAATCATTCAAGTATAGCTGTAAAATTAATGAAATTGTTCCAAAGGATCTATTTTGTGGTTTTAGTTCTACAGGGGCCCCTGATGGCCCCTATGTGAAAGTGCACATGTTTAGGAAAGAATGATGAAACAGTATCCATCTTTGCTGAATTTAAAAAAACTAAAATTGGCTGCACAAGTGAAGCAAAATGCATCTGAGGTCAAAATTATATAACTTCAAAGGCTTATAGACATACGTTTCCTAAAAAATTGATATTAGAGTCTGGTGTCAGTCCTCTGTTAAAACACTCCTTAGGTTTCAACTTTCCAGCTTATAATATCAGGTTAATTTGGAGAAATATTTATCTTTTCCTGCCACTTTTTGCAAGGCACCAGTCCTACTGACATTAAAGCAGACCCTCAGTATAAAGCTATCAACATTTAGCCTGATATTATTATGTTTGTAGGCCTTAAGAAGACAGAGATCAGTGTCCAGAATGAGGGGGAAAAATAGTGTTTAAAACATGTTAAACTTATAACCTTCATCGTATAATGACTGTATGTGAAATGTTTGTGTTATTCCCTCTGTTTATGTGCAGAGGGTCCAGGATGTGAAGCTGTTGTCTCTCAGATACTGGCTGCTGGTCCTCACCATCATGTTCTTCTATAATGGCATTTTCCCATTCATTGCAGACGCCAGGTACAGTTAGTTCATTCTGTTTTAAAAAGACGCCGCAAACCGTCTGCTAACACAAAGACATTCTTATGTCTGACCCAGGATGATTTGTTTGTCTTTTTCCTGTGCAGCAAGTTCATTCAGGATAAATACAGCGACTACAGTCAGAAGGAGGCGGCCTACATTGCGGGGGCGGTGTACGACAGCTCACTGGTTCTCTCAGCCAGCGTGGGCATTCTCATCGTGAGCGTCTACCTTCCTCATCTGCTTTGTCTTGAATCTGCGCAGAAGTCAGTTTGGGTGCTTTGAACTTGCTGTGATTTTAGGACTATGTGGGACTTCGAGGGGTTTTCGCCGTGGCCTGCGCCATCTTCACGCTGCCCGTCTTTGGACTCCTGGCGTTCACCTTTGTCCCTCCTCTGGTCTCTACTATATGGCTGGGAGTCACCTACTCCTTTGCTGCTGTGAGTGTGAACCCGTTTTGATTAATTGTCAAATATTTCTACCTCTTCTGTTACTGAGGAAACAACTCAGGTTGCCATAAACATCTTACCATAAACATGGTAAATTTTTCAAGTCATTACGTTAAACAAGAAGGCAGCTATCTGTCTCGTTTGAAGTAGTTCAAAAAGACGTTGATAACGTTCAGTTTGTGACCAAGAGGAGCATCAAACAAGCTCACTTTTTACCTTTCAAAGACTAAAAAGAAGCCTATGACTTAAAATCTGAAAGGTTTGGCTTGCACTTGCTTTCATCCCCTCTGAATAAATAGTTTGTAAAGCTTTACATAAACTACAGCTACTACCTCATTTACACTACTCTTGAAAAACCGTGCCGAGACCGGTCCGAGCTCAGTAACTGAGATAACTTATCAAGTGTAAATGGAAAGCAAACTGAACTGAACCGAGCTAGACACAACCGAACCGAGATAACTGCAGACCACTTCCAGAGGTGGGCTCGGCTCGGTTTTTCCCTGGCTCGGTTCTCTGATAACAACAACGCATGAGCGGAACGCTTCATCTCCGTCTGGCTGCACATCCCGATTCACACTCCATTCCAGTAGTTGGCGCTAATGCCCCTCCGGAAGTTGCTTGCCAACCAACACAAAACAGAAGAAGAACAACAACTATAAACATCAACGAAAGGTTGCCGTCTTCGCCTGACCCTCCGCAAACACCGAAGTACAGCAATAATAATCAAGCATAACTATCTGAAAGTGACGGGCGCAGCCATTTTGATTTGCTTGATTCCCTCCTTCTTCGTCCTCTTCTTCTTGTGTTTTATGGCGGTTGGCAAACAACTTTTGGTGCATTACCGCCACCAACTGCTTGATTTCCTCCTTCAATACTGGCAGTAATACCGCAGATCGTCACTAGGAGGCGAGGAACCGAGATAGCGTGATGTTTAAACGGTCGTCAGAACCGAGCTCGGCCTGGTTAACTGATCCGAGCTCGGACAGGTCTCGGCATGGATCGGTTTTTCAAGGGTAGTGTAAATGGGGGATATAAGTCCTTTTACCTTTTTTTCTGCTAGCTTTGCGTATCTAGAAGCTGTTTCTTTGAAAAAGAAGCAGAAACTCGTCTTCAGTCAATTTTATTAAGGGAAATCTTATTAAAGGTGACTGAATAAAAAATTTATGCAACAGTTTTAAAGATTCCTATTTATAAAATCCCTCTAAAAGGATGAAAAATATTTGTTTTAAAGTAAAAATAGGTTTGAAGTCTGCTGAGTGTTTTTATTTGCTTTCCCATTCATGGTTTGCCTCTCTGCTGTGATCCAGGCCAGCATGTGGCCTTCCATCCCCCTGGTGGTGCCTCAGGCCACACTGGGAACAGCCATGGGCCTGGCCACCTCCATACAGATGGTGGGGATCGGGGTCTCCAATCTGATTGTCGGACAGATTTTGGGCACTAAATCAAGGTATTAAAACATTTTATTTTAGAAGCTCTTTGCTGTTTATTGCTAATCAGATTTCCAATCGTTCTCTTCTAGTGAAGCTAAGATCCCACTCTGGCGCTGGCAGAGGATGATGATCTTCATGTTGGCCAACACCATCTGCTGCATCGTGACGTCTGTGCTGCTCAACTTCGTTGACCACAGACAGGTCAGACATCTCTGTGGGCCGTCTTACAGATCCTGCAGCGCAGTACTGACATGTTTTATTTGAATGTTTCTGCAGGGTGGCACTCTGAACAAGACAACCAAGAGATCAGGGCAGACAGAGGAAGACTCGGAGCGAGAACCGCTCACCCGCGGTCAGGAGGAGGAAGAGCAACGCGAGGCCGATGGCGCCAATGTCACACCTCATTCCATCAATTCATGAGGTCTTTTGCCAAACCGTGTCTCAAAATGAAAGACTGCAAGCTGCTGTTTCCCAGATCACAAACTACTTCTTTATTTGGACCTTTTTGCTGCAACACCAGTTTATAGAAATGGAAAGGCTCTGGAAGAGCAGGTTGCATTTTTCCACCTGTTTCATAAATTGATTTTTAAAATCAAAAGTGCAATTTTATCAGAAAAATATTGAGACTTTTTTAACTTACATTTTTTAGGTGTTATTTTGGACTGAAAGGGATGCAGTTACTGGACTGGAAGATCTTATAGTTATGTTTTTATTTTGGTTAAAATGAGAGGAAAGCATTAATATTGTGGGGATTAAACAGTTAATCTAAATTATCCCTCCAGGCAATGTTTTTACAATTTTAACTCTATTTATACCGATTCCAACTTACTTCCCCTTTTTCAGGTGTTTTTTTTTTGTAACAAGCTGAATTCTCTGCAGCTTGGCCACTAGATGGCTCAATTTCTTCAAAAACACCATTAAATGTAATCTTAATTTACATTTTCAAAATCTACATCACATGTTGCTAAAGTTTTTTTTTTTTAAATAATGGACAAATGTAATAATTTAAGTACTGCAGTCATGCATTAAATTAGGATGAATTTATAATTTTAGGCATTCTGAATTTTCTCTTCATCGATGATCTTAAACTCAAATCCTTAAAGAATCTTTTTCCTGAATTTTTAGATGTTCCCCTGAAACTTCAGACATGAATCAAATGGCTAAACTACCTCATTAGCATCAGCCAAGCTCCGCTATTAAATTAGGGGTGATGAAGCAGAATCACATGTAAAGGTTGCAGGAGTTTGAAACCATTGCACTAAATATTTAGAGGATTGTTTTCATTTCATTAATGCTAATCTTTATCAGTGGGATTAGCAGAATCTGTGAGTTTCCACCAAGAACCAGGAAGATGATTTCAAGTACCTTTGAAACTGAATGCTAAGGGAGAAAATCTTGAACTATACTGAAGCATCTCTCACATCAACATGCTCTATGAGGTCCGTAGACCACCCACTGTCACAGCACCCTGTGATCCTAAACAGACGGAAGCCAAACTTCTCCTAATTCTTGTGCATTTTTACTCTAAAACATCTCTTCAGATGTGAGCATGGGTTGATAGGATCAACTTTATAAGTATTTTGCAGAATCCCACGGATGGAGCCATTAAGGTACCATTAGTCACTGACCCAGCCTATGACGCATCATTCACCATATTAAGGCTTGTAAATACTCCACAGGTACAGAAACATCTTTTGAGACCAGATCCATTAGCGCAGTTGTCTGCAGGAGTCACCTCTGCAGTGGTTTTAATAGTGGCTTAAAATGATATAAAGTAACTAATGTGATATGATAACAAACAGCAGTCTCCTTTAAAGATAATTTGATTGAATTTTCACAACAAAATGACATTAAAAGAACCAGAAATATGTTATTGGATCTGCTTTTCCTGGCATTTGCTTGGAAATTTAGCAATTTTTTCTGTTTTTTTCTTTAATTAAAAAGCTAAAAGTACAGATGAGCTGTTGGTTGTTTGAAATGGCAACAGATTTACTCTATCAGACATTTGAACACAAAAGTAGTAAGATGTTTTTGTTCTAAAGGATATATAATATTTGAAGCTCTAAACGACTTTTATCATCTGGACTCCTTAGATTGTAAAGGTTGCAGACCCCTGCATTAGCTGTTTGCAGATCCAGATGAATTATGGCACAAGGACTTGGGTTACTGGACTTGAATCTGGTGTTTATCATAATTTTACGTGCTTCCTCTGGCTTGTGTTTAGCCTTTATTTTTTATTTTTCCCCCACAGTGATTGTCAGCCAACTGTCATCACTCATGGCACGTTTTGATTATCTAATTTTGGAATCTTTTTATTAAATCTGGTATCTTAAATTCTGGCCACAAGTTTTAAAAGTTTAGCTTTAATCACCTACTTTTTGTCATCTTTGATCACCATTCTTATCACAGTTTATTTCTCTAAAGTATATATTTTTCTTAAACTGCAATACCCCGGAAAAATGAGTCAAATTACGGGTTTTATTTTTTTTTATTTTTTTTTGTCCCACTAAGTCAAATTGGTGGATTATTAATATTTCCATTAAATTCCTATGGACAGTCACAATATGCAGACCGATCAAACAGTATTTACACCCTGTATACTTGTGTACGTTTAATTGAATGTTTTAGATGTTTTCCTCCTGTGTGGGGCAATTTTAAAGGCAATCAGTCATTTTCAGCCGAGTTAATTGATTGATCTGTAATTATTTGATCATTTTTGTCCTTTTATGTCGATTACATTACCACTTTTACATCTTCTTATACATGAACTAAAGACTATGTTTCCATCTGTAATGTGCTTTGCTCTCCCTCAATGTTTTTTTTTATTAAAGCCTCACTTTAAATCCACCGTGTCTTTGCCATTCAGAGCATTTGTAATATTCCTTTCCTCTTATTTCCTGGCTTTAAAAACTACAGTTATACTCTGCAAAAACGATCAAGAAATAAGTAAAAATTTCTTAAATTAAGTGTATTTACCCTTAATTTGAGTAGGTAAATAAAAACCGACTCTTAAAAATACCAATTCTTAAAATAAGATACTTAGATAATATGAACTTGAAATAAGACAATGCAATTGTTTTTTCTTATTTTAAATGTAAATTGTCCTTTGGCAAAGTGTCTCACTTTTGTCCTCAATTGGAGAAAAAATGCACTTATTTTAAGAAAAAATTACTTACTTAGATTTCCATTTCCTGCAGTGTAAGATATGAGTCTATACTTTATCACTTCCTAAGCTGCATTTTAATGGGAGTCACCCTCTCCACTTTAAAAACAAAAGCACATGCACAACCCTGTACCCAACCTGAGAGGGAAGGCCTATTAAACGAGTATGAGAGCGTGCACAAGCCCATTTCTCCTCATGCACACTCTGTTTAAAAGTTGCTGTTTGCTTTGCTCATATGAGTTTACTTTCCAAAAGAAGATTAGCAATTTTTCCACTATGTCAGACTCACCATAGCTAAGTGAAAATGGGGAAGAGCACGTAGGACGGCCTTACGTAAACATATCACCAGAATGATTGACAATTAGATAGAGCACTTATTTTGATGATCCACCTGGAAAAAGAACATCCTCCCCTTAAACTTTTTTTATCTCATCTCTTTAGATTTCATTCATATGACTCAGGACTCTTATTGCCAAAGCCCAGGATTATTATCAGTTAGATAAAGTAGAAAAATTACAAGTAGACACAATTCTATGAGAATAAATTCAGAATTCTGAGAGTAAAGTCAGAATTAGTTAGTAATAAGTCAAGCAGTGCATAATTATGATGTGCAGGAAATTAATTCCCTGATTAACAGCAGACTAATTAGAAATAAGGGTAAAAAGGTCTAAATCCTGACCTTCAATTTCTCGTCTCAGAAGAAACTTAGAAGCAGACAGGTCAGTAATATGTCCGTGGAGAAGTTTAAAACAGGTTAAATCTCAAGCTTTGAACATCCCTCAGAACTCTGTTTAATAAGACGTGATCCTCCACCTAACCTGAGAAGCTGGATGAGAGGAGCTAAACGGCTAAAAACAATGGGCGACAGGGCCTTTCGAAGCCGCAGCTCCCCGTCTGTGGAATGCCCTCCCAGACCACCTTAGGGCCCCACAGACGGTGGATTGTTTTAAGAATGGACTAAAAAACTTTCCTTTTTAGAAATGCATACAATTGTTGATTTTAGATTTTTTTAAATAGGCTACGTATGCCTTTTAATGTATTGATTTTAATGATTGTCTTTTTACTCTGTTTTTAATGTTATGGTCTTTTAAACATGTTTTAATTTTCCCTTTTTTTTAAATGTAGCACTTTGAGATTTGAAGTCAAATGTAAAGTGCGTTATAAATAAAATTCATTATTATTCAGAGATGCAGCCATAATGACCTTAGCTACTTTAAAAGAGTTATAAGCAGTCGACAGGAGAACTTCTAGTTATGCAATCCATGAATGTGGCTTTTATGAATCAGTTTGTGGGTTCGATTCCGGCCCCGGGTCTTCCTGCATGGAGTTTGCATGTTCTCCCCATGCATGTATAGGTTCTCCTCAGGTACTCTGGCTTCCTCCCACAGTCCAAAAACATGACTGTTAGGTTTATTGGCTTTTTTAAATTGTACCTTAGATGTGAGCGTGTGTGTATGGTTGTTTGTCTGTGTGTTGCCCTGCTGCCAACTGGCCACCTGTACCCCGCCTCTTGCCCATAGACTGCCGGAGATAGGCACCGGCCCCACGGCGACCCTGATGGAATAAACAGGAGAAGATGGATGGATGAAGGGCAAGAAGAGATCCAAAAAAGTTTGACTATGAACAGAGTAAACATGAAGAGGAAGATGATGTGTTCAAAGTTCATAAGGATTAAATAATTTTTAAGATATGTTAAATACCTCAGAGACTGATCTGGAATAGGTCAATGTAGCATTTTGTGGGAGGTAAAACCTGCATGACTTCATTTCACATCAATCATGCCACCACCACCTCCTCCATGTATGCTGACTCCTTAAAATACCAGACTGTCCAGATAAACATTTCTGCACTAAGGAGGACTTCTTTTTGTTTTTTTTTTGTTTTTTTTGTTTCTCCAACTCATTTCTCTTTAAAACTATGTATGTTAGGAGGCTTTTTTCTTTCCTAGATTGTAAAAAAATAGCTTATGGAGCTTTTCATTTTTAACATTCAATAATAGAGTAATTAAATACAAACAAGATTATATAATGGTTGTTTAGTTTTAGCTTCCAGCCAAGCTAAAAGTTGACAAAGCAGATCTGAGCTGAGTTGAAACATCACTTTAATTAGAAAGTGTCTAAATTGATCAGTCCTATCTGCTTTGCTTTAAAGCCGTAAGCAGGAAAAACTAAACCCTCATCTGTTAATTTGATTGCATGGTTCTGGAGATGAATTATTGCTTGCCCAGCTGTCTGTTTATTTAAAGCAAATCCAATCATCGACCAATCAGTGTTTCTTACATGGACATCTACTAGAGTTTTGTATGGTATTTTTAAAGCCATCATTAATTTTGTGCTATTTAGTCGTAATCTTCTTAGAAATGTCAATCACTTGTTTACTGTTAGATCATGACAGTCATCAGGTAAAGGGACTAAAATGGGGAAGAGAGGGTTACCTGAGCTCGACTTCCAGGAGAATTTAAACCTCCGTTTGCCGTGAAGAGAAACCCTAAATATACCTCACCTAATCTGCTTAGGGGACTTGTGGTTGGAGTTAGTCTTTGTCCTGATGGAAAGCACACAGCCACTCACACACTGACAATGATAAAGAGTCAGAGATCAGCTTAAAAACTTGGTATCCAGCAGAGCAGCCTGCTGCATGCTTCCAAACCCACAGTCATTCTGCAGTCTGGACTGTTTGGCTGAAACATGAACAGGTCCAGCCTCCTAACCCTCAACTCCCTGGGAAAGATCTGCGGCTCCGGGAACAGCAGCGACATGGTGATCCTGGACCGGGTCAAGAGGAAGAACTCTGTGAGGCGGATGTCTATCATTGAGGACGGGCAGCTGGCCGAGGTGCTTTACCTGATCCCCAAACAGTGCATGATGGAGCAGCTGCCCTTCATCAACCCTGAGGACTACATCCTCTGTGAAAAGCTGGCTGGGATTCCTGCAGAGGTTTCAGGTAATCAGCAGTTTGAAGCTACCCCAAATCTGCTATCCACCTACTGTGTAAGATAGGAGTGGCTGATATTACTGTAGTGTTGAGCTTTACTAGAAACTTTAAACAGAGGCATGATTATTTTTTCTTTTTCTGTACCAGTTTTTCCTTTATTTTGAGTTCTAACCAGTTGAATGCATTTAGGGAAAAACGCTGCAGGTTCTCTGACAGAAGAAAGAGTTTTGAATTTATGCAGATTTTCCCTTTGAAAAGATCAAAGGATAGAGTAAAGCTCCAAATTATCCAAACTTTGGTTTAAAGTTATTTCCATCTAACCAAGAATTTTTTTCTCTTAAAAAGTGATCAGATTGGAGGACCTCTTTACCATCGCCCTAATATTTAGCACAGTCCACTTTAAATCTATCAGATTCAAGTCAAGACTCTTGATGTATGGTTTCAAAAAATTTAATAATGCTAATAGTCCAAAGGTGGTTAATTTAGGCCCTAATGTGCAAGAGATATATTGTTGTCCTTTGATGTTTGTGTCTGAACTTTATCAGATTTTTTATTTTATTTTGTCAAAAGTCAATCAAAGTGTATGATAATAGTCAATGTATAATGCAAATTCATAAGAGTCTGAGTTCTTGTTTTTATTAAAAATGAAAGACATAATTCAGATTTTCTAGTTTTTGACCTGCAGATTACGGCTCAAGAGAAAATCGTCCGATTCTGATTTCTAGCAGCAGCAGAATCTCTGCCACACATCTGATTATTTTACCGCTGCAATCTGAAAGTCTGTGCCACCTCATCAGAATTAAGGAATTATTCAGCATTACTCAAAAATGTATTTATAAGCTGCAGCTATTTAAACCTTTCCTAATATCATAAAATACATTCTGTCCTGGCAACTTTATCCCTTAAGACTTAAAGCAAATAACAGAAATAAACACTTGATTCTTTATTATTACATAATTGTTACATGATTGATTTTTATTTTTTTTTATCATGCTGGATATTTTTCATAGCTGTAGATTTTGCTTTTCAAGTTAAGGAAAAGTGCACAGCGAAGAAGAGCTTGTGCAATCTAAACATCCTATAAGATTAGCAGATTTAATGGCAGACTCAAAGAAGTTTGTTGGAGTTGATTGGAAGATAATTTATTGCAAGTGAGGCAAATGTATAGTTTGTTTCTTGCAGACAGCTCACTAGCAGTGTGCAGCATTTCATTACGAGCCAAAAAAAGCATCCAGACTCTCCAACCTGTTTTCTGACTTCTTAAAATAAGGATTTTCCAACTTTTCTATGTCACCACTACTGCAAAGGCTACACATATTAGCTAAATGTAACCAAAATAAATATATATGTGACCCATTAACCTTCTCTTTTACAGCAAAAATGCATTTTGTATCCCCCTTTAACACACAACTGGTATGAGATCAAAATAATTTTAACTATTTTTGAGAAAATAAATGTGTTAGGTATGTAATGATCTCTGAACGTCCTGCTGCCTGTTCAAAATAATAAAAAAATTAGATCACTAAAGTTCAATTCAATAAATCAGAATACACAGTCTGATGAAGCTTGTTTATCAGCTTTAAAGTAACTCGTAAAATTCACAACCTTTAAGCAGGTTCAAACCTGCTTATCTTTAGATCTTCATTTCTGTATCAGGAATTTTTCTTTTTATTAGTCTGATGTAATAATGTTACTTCTTTTTTTCATTACCTTAAATCACCATTAACAGAAATAAATGTTCCAAAACATCAGTCTGTGTTGAAGTGTGAAGTTACAGAAATATTAATGGTATTCAAATTTTTTTAAATATGACTGTATAGCTCACCTAAAGCCTTAAATTAAGCCTGATTTACTTAGGTAATCGTTTCCAAACATCTCCCAGCAGATGAGCCATTTGATTTTCTCCCTTTTCATCATGGCTGAGGTCATGGATTATACAGACAGCAGAATTTAGTATCTCCCCAGCTGACAACACACACATAACACCCACCCTCAGACCCTGTGTGTTTATAGACCTCCCCCTTTTTTCCCTTGGAGTTGCGCTGTAGTTTGTTGCTTTGTCTCTCGCTCTGAGCTCTGCTGCAGGGGGGCAACGATCAGCAGTCATGAAACACAAAGGTAAACTCTCCCACCTGTTCTCTGTAAATATTAACTTTATGGTTTATCTTTTATTTACATAGTTTCCCTGTATTGATTTCTTTAGTTTATAGTATTAAAATTTTTCCAGTCTCTTCATTCTGTTTGCTTTCAGTTTGTTTTATAATTCAGAAACAAACACTATTAATGTTGTTATTTGTCAGGACCTTGAATGAACGTTTAAATTTTTTTGAGGATTTTGGCAACAGACTACATTTAAACTATATCTTTAGATTCTTCTACATGATCTTTACCTGAGCTGTGATCAAAATGAAAAGCTAACTTCCAGTGATTAAAAACTGACCAAGTGGGTAAATGTGCAAGGACAGTAGTATTTTTTTATGATGTAAATGCAGCCTTTCATGTTAGTTTTGCACAGACACTTGTTGTTCAACAGCATGCTGAAACTGACAATGATTGCATGACTTCCCTTCTGATCAGTTCTGCTCAGTGACGTGCGGTCAGGGGAGGCAGGTGAGGCAGTGCCTCACCAGCCATCATGGAAAGAAAGAAAATATATAATCATAAAGTAATTTAAATTGTTATATTCATCCGGTGGTTTGTACTAAAAAATATTCATTTTTCATGTAGCTTCACCAATTTCGATTTTTATTTGTTAAAAATCGCTGAATTTTCTTATTTTCCCATTCAAATGCTTGGAAGCGATGCCGGTGAGGCAGCAGCGAGCTCTGCCTCACCTTGGATTGCGCAACCCCTGGCTCTGCGCTGGCTGCAAAGCGGAGAGAGCATGTTGCTGTACGGCGTCAATAAAATGGTTTAAACAAATGTAATATGTGAACTTATTTCTAATAATTTGGCTTATGTATATAATGTACAGAGCTTTTTGTCACCAACTGTGTTTGTGTAACGTGTTTCGTGTAATGAGCGATTATAAACGGCAGAGAACAAGTTCGAGGTGAGGCAGGCAGTTCTCTTGCCTCATGGCAGGGGGTGCTCAAGAGACTGAAAACATAAGGCAGGAACAGGACGGATCAAGGAAGGCTTTCTTCCCTGGCAGTGATCTCCATTGAGACAGAGAGACTTTTAAAACTGAAGGAAGATAAGGAGGACTTCTATTCATTTATAAGTAAAGGTAAGACAGTAATAACATTTATTTTGTTTTGTTTTTTAAGGAAATGTGTGTTTTGTGAGCTACAGTTTGTATGTGTAAGGATGCAGAAGTGAAACATAACCTGTAAACTGCTGTCAATCTATGCATCTATTTGCAAATCTGATTCTGATGACGTCAGTGCCTCACCAGCTATGAACCTCACCGCACGTCACTGGTTCTGCTAATATCAAATCTGACATCTTGGAGGGAATTTGGATGCAGTGATGGTTCATCATCCTTTGCCCAGTAGATCCTTAAGTATTAATTAATTAAATAAGGTAAAGGATAAAGCTAAGGTGAGGTGACATGCAAAAATAACATATCTGGTCTTGGTGTATTTGAACACTATGATCCTCATACCGTTGATCCCATTACATGTGCACCTGGAGCACAAATTTATTCCCTTTTATTTAGACTATGAGACAGAAGTTTTAATGAATGTTTACTTTCCTCTGCATCAAGGAGGGCAGAAAAAAACTGTCATGCTAAAAGAATAATTCAGTCCAAACAGGGACTATGCTGTTCAAGATGGCTTTTGCCAATCTTAGGGAATTCAGTAAACATGTGGAAGAAGATGCTTTCCTAAAATGTAACCAAAACTATTCGCCCTGAATAAACTTGGTGAGGAATAAAACATTGGCTGATCACACTAGCCCAATAGTGAAGCATGGTAGTGGCAGCTAAATTATCAGGAGATCCATCCATCCATCCCTTTTCTGTCACACTTATCCCAAGCGGGGTCGCGAGGGGTGCTGGCGCCTATCTCCAGCTGTCTACGGTCGAGAGTCGGGGTACACCCTGCACAGATCGCCAGTCCATCGCAGGGCATGATGAGGAGATTATTTTCTTAATTTGGGAAATGTTTGATGGTCAGAGTTAAGGAGAAAATGGGTGGAGCTAAACAAGAACAATCGCTGTTGGAAAGGGCTAGTGAGAGTCCAAATCTAAACCCAACTAAAACTTTGAGGCATAAAAAAACAAGCTTCACAAATGCTCTCTATTTGACTGAACAAATATTTGCTTAGAATAGTGGGTATACTTTTAATCTAGAATTAGTTTGCTTTAAATAGATGTTGGTTATCGATGGGTAACATAGTAAATTGAGGTGGACATAAATGCATGGTGCAGTTTTCAGAGTTTGGCCTTTCACGTGTGAATACTTTTGCAAATATTTAAGTCAAAATATTTGATGAACATAGAGAAGATTCCCAAAATAAAAAGTAGAGACACCTTCCCTCCTGAGGCACACATATGTGTTGATGTTTATAGCCGATTAGGCAACTCCTATCGGGTTTCTCTCCATTTGTCGTCTTTCTAAATTGAACATTTGTTAATACCTGACACCGGATCAGCTTCACGGTCTGAAGCCATGAATAAAGAGCTGCTGCCTGCTTGGATCGTATGAAGTCTTCAACACAAGACTTGCAATCAAAGTTCTCTTGCTATCTTCAAAATGTGCAGCTCTACAGTAAAAAGTGATAAGTTGCTGTTTCAGACTTTGAAGATTTTAAAAATAAATCTCCCCTCACAGAAAACTTTCTATTAGAAGCAGTTTGCACTGCATCCTTGTTGCCGGGCAGACGAAGGGGTCCTGCACCAAATTCAGCAATGCAAGCAGAGTCGAACTGTTCTGGAAACATTTCTACTTTATGCAACAACTTAGTTTGTATTTGTTTGAAGACAAATACAGATGGAGTGGTTTATTTTGCACTGATACTGTTAGTGAATTATACCCGAGGAAGACATTTATGTGGGGTTTGCAATAGAAAAATGTAAAGTGTCCTTATCTGCAAGCTCTTGATGTCCACACTTTCAAGCCGGATGCCTCCTCATGCACCGCATTCTTTCCTCCTCTCTCTGCTGCTAATCACACTGAGGTCTTTTCAGAGTGGACTGATTAGATTATAAAGGCCTCCTATGGTCCTGCTGCTATGTGAACATGGAAGAGATAAAGGCAGAAAGAATGAATTTTGTTAATCCTAAGCACTGTCTTTACTGCCATGTGGTTGTTTATTTGGAAAAAGGATAAAGCGATCCCTGGATGCAGTCAGATGATTGCTCTTCAAGGCCTGGGTAATGTTGTTCCAAGTATTCATGTATTAAAACAGAGAAATTCCAGCCATGAGGATTTTATGGAAAAGCATACGGCGGGGATTTTGTGTTGCCCAGCTCCCTTACAAATTCAGCTTTAAATCCGATTTTGTTGTTTTGAGAAATATATGAATTCCTTAATGTCACAGAGTTTTGGTTGTTTTGTTTTTTTTAATGGTTTTATTCATTACTTTTTACACATTAGTTTGGTTTGCCAATACAACTACCTGATGCTCTGTTCTTGCAAACTAACCACCAGTAAGTATGCAATAATTTGAGAACTCTTATGTGGAGGAATTATTCATCAAAATTAGGCTTAAAATTTATTGCTGTCTGGTTGGCTAGCTAAGAACAAATTTAATTTCAAATAGATATGCTCAGAATCTCAGAAAAAAAGCACAATTTATAATTATTTTCCAATAATGATAGAAATGTTTAAATGTATCGTTTTTACATACCTGGCTGAGCCATAGTGAGAGTTTATATCCTCAATTCAAACAGTCAGGAGGGACGACTTGTCCTTCGATTGATGGGATTTGTCAGAGTAGAGTTAGAGATCTGAGGAAGCATAAGGGGAAAATGTTTTTTATTGATGGATTTTTAAAATGAGAACGGATTAGACTAAATTAAATGTCAAAAAATAATTTAGGATGAACTCAGAGGTTTAGAGGGCAGATAGTTCAATTACTTTCTGTCTCTGGATTTTTTCTTTCCTCAAACATTTTCATTTTTAGCCCATAATAATGATAAATTTCCTTATGATTTATCTATTTAAGTAAATTAAAGAATAGAGATAAACGTGGTTCCCAGGTTTTAGATCAAGAAATGATTAGATGGATTTTACCAATGAAATAAAGCAATTAGATTTGATCATTTCTTGACCTAAACCCAGCAGAAAACATGTCGAGGCCCAGAAATGGTTCCTGCACTGATGGTTATTTGGTCATTAGAAAGTAAGGAATTTAGTTGCACTTTATTCCCATATTAATACGAACCCTATACAGCTGAGAGATATATTTTTACTTCTTTAATTCTGTTTGATTTGTGATGAGTTCTGAATTGTAATTAGTTTAAGTACACAGAGCCAACAGTAGAAAACATTTAAGCAAGAAACAGGATATCGCTGCAGAAATCAGTCTTTGTTCATTTCATTTTCATGTACTTTGAATATTTAAAATGCTAAGAAATGTTCTTCTGCCGCTGCTTTTTTTGTCCGCTAAAACATTTCAGATCATCAGACAATTTTTTTTCCATCAAACAAATATAACAAAAGTACATTTAAAAAGTGCAGTCTATAATCAGCAGTTGCACTTATAAAAAAAAAGAAAAAGAAAAAAGAGATGCTCTATGTGAAGAAAAATAACCAACAGACAAACATGGTGGAGGTGGTATGATGACCTGGGATCACTTTATATGTTCTGATGATTCGTCCAGTTTGGAGATGTTGCTTTAGATGAAGAATGAATCTTTCAACAAGCAGCTTACAGTTTACTTTATACTTGTTTATAGCACGAGTTTATAATCATTTGTTTCCTTTTTGTGGTAAGATATGATGTTTTTAGTTCCTTGTATTCGTTTTTAATATAGTTTTTCTGTGTATACAGCATATACTATAGAAGATCTTGGTCTTTGCTTCTAAATGTCTTGGTCGTGGTACTCCTTTGTCTTGGTTGGTGGGATTTTGACTACAACACAATCCAGGGCAACCAGTAATACGGCTTAGGGGCGATTAAATTGATAATTTAGGTGCCGATTGTTTTGGATTGCTTTGCTCCCTCAATAAAGTGAATCCTTAATTATGTATTTTATGTATTTGCTCACATGATCTATGTGTGAAACTAAAGTTAACTCCTAACTTTATCCTGAGGGATTCAGATCAGATAAAAAAATGTAAAAATCTGCTGTTTTTTTTTGTTAAGTTTAAGTTTCTAAGTTTGACAATTTCTCTTATAAATAATTCATAAAGGCGATGCACTGTTCAGCACGTCATTGATCCCGTTATACCTTCTGCTCCTGCAGTGCTGCATGCCCCAGACAGCTGCCAGCAAAGTCCTCCAGCAGTAAAACAGCCCATCCAGTGCTTCAGATGTGGAGGACTGTGCAAAGGAGAGGCGCTGCGCGTGCAGAGCACCTACTTCCACATTAAATGTTTCACATGCAAAGGTAAGTCAAGCCAGAGAGCAGAATTATGTCTCCGTCAAAATAAGAAGCACAATGGTTATCAAATCATTTCCTAACCCTTGCGCTAAATAACTGCGGCTATTTCAGTCCTGGTACATTGTTTTGCTGGCTTTACTAGGAACGCTCCCATGATCCAGACATAGTTCACTTAAACAATCAGTATTGAAAACAAATTACTTCAACATAAAATGTAAAAATATGAATGGAAACATTTTTAATGTGAAATCTATATTCAACCAACAATTTTAATATAGCCCGACGTCTTACATTGTAATCCAACCTTCATTTTCTTCAGTGAAATATATACATGGATCATCATCAGGTCTCATGTTTCTGAACTTATTAAAACATGTAGAAATGTGCTGTTATGAGATCCTCCTGGGTTTTCAGTCAGCAGAGTTCTCTGGCAGGCGTCATAGCGGGCATATTTCTCCCAGCAAGCTTTTGTCCCAACTAATCAGTCCTGACAAGCTGCTCATGTTGTTGCCCTCGCATGTCACTGTGGTTGTTAAAGCTTGGAGAAAACAATGAAAGCTTCAGGAGAAGAAAAACTCATGAGTTAATAACTCAACGTTAGTAAAAATGTGGATTAAATGTGTAAAATCAGATGTCTTCTACCGTATATAGACTACTAATCAGAGGGAATATAACATCAAATTAAATAATAAAATGAAAATGTTTGCAAAATAAACAAAGAAAACTAAATAATTTGACTGTTTTTATTCTGTAAATGTGATGTGAGTCTCAGCAGGGACCAGAATAGACCGGCGTTAATCTCCGTTTGGCTTCCTGCTGCATTCTGTCATGGCTGGCTCTGAGGGACAGATATCAAATGTCACCAAACAAGTGGAGTCCTGTCAGTGAACTGTCACTTAGCTGACAGAAACACATAGATTTATATACATGATCTGATGGAAAGCAAAGCTTCAAAAAGAATGCTTCAATACAGGGGCTCCGAATAATTTACCACCTTGACTGTTTCAGGCTGGATGCTGGCAGTGTTGGTAGCACTCCTGCCTTTCTGCACGTTCTCCCCTTGCATGTTTAAGTTTTCTTTGGCCTGAATAGTGACAACAGCCTCATAAAAGATGACACTTCAAGCTATGAAGCCTCAGTTTATTTCTGCGGGCTTTTGAAAAAAAAAATCCTGTTGTTATTCCCTTATAGTTTCTCTTTATTTGCGTTCAATAATAATCCATGTCAAGTTTATTAAACTGGTATAAACCTAATTATCTGAGACAAACCACAGTCTAGCTAGCTTTGGATAAATGTTGGTTAGCTGGTAGTTTTAAAAGTGACTCCAAAAAGAGTAAAAAAAAAAAAAAAATCCACTGGACTTTGTTTCCAAGTTTGAAGACGTTTTGCTTCCCATCCAGTAAGTTTTTTCAATTAAAAGTGTCATTGGACATTTTGAATTGAAAAATGCTTCCTGGATCCATGAATTTCAAAAGTGGTGTTTTTTTTTCAAGACCTGAGACTTAAAAGAATTTTATAAAATAATTAATAATTTCTAAACTTGCTATTCCTTCTGAATGATTAGCTTCAGAAGGATAGAAAGTAGCAGTGAGATTTTTTCAATTTTATAACATTTGAATGACATAATCTTATGTATGTCAGGAAAATTAAAAGCCTTTTATAGATGTTTACATAAAAAAGTCTGCGATATAAAATGAAAAACATAAAAACTGATAAGCTCAAATATTAGACGCATTCAATGTCTAACACAATTTTCACATTTTTAGGCTCCTGAAATTATTTCTTTCTAAGAAATAATTTAATTAGTAAAATATGGTGATGCAGTGCAGATTTTTGTGGGTTCTCTTTTTTCTAAGATGTCTTCTTGTTTGTGTGTGAATGTGTGGCTTTGCTTAGTGTGTGGCTGCGACTTGGCTCGGAGTGGCTTCTTCATGAGGAACGGCGACTGCCTCTGCCCGGTGGACTTCCAGCGCCTTTATGGCACGCCCTGCACCACCTGTGGGGAATTTGTGGAAGGGGAGGTGGTCACAGTCCTGGGGAAGTCCTACCACCCAGCCTGCTTTGTTTGCACCATATGCAAGTAATTCAGAATATTCTGTCAGCTGTTGGTTTAATGCGTTGGCCTTTGTTTGTCCTGCAACTTGTGTCTCTTCTCCTACACACACGAATCAAGCCTGCAGCTAAGCTCTACAGAGCTGTTTAAAGAGCTAATATTGAGTCAGGTGTGTTAAAGCAGAGACACATCTAAAAAGTCTGAGCAAACAGGGGCCCTCTGGGTCTGGAGGTTGAGAGGACTGGTTTAGACTAAGAGGTTTTGCCTTATCTCTGTTTATCTTGTCTCCTTCTTAGACAGCCTTTCCCTGCAGGGGACTACGTAACCTTCAGGGGAAAAGACTGCCTCTGCCAGCGCTGCACCGAACCCGTGTCACCTTCTAATCAGATCCGTCATCACAGTGGTGAGTACATCTATCTTAAGCTGTCTCTCAAAGGGATGTTTACATTTTCTATTCATTCATTAATTAATCGGGAGCTATGATCATCTAGAGCAGGGATAACAAATTAAAAATCAGTGGAGTCCAAATAAAGAAAATCAGCAACCAGTAAAGGTCCGGAGACATTTTTAATTAATCTGTTACTTTAAACAGAATTTAACATACTGCAAAAAATTTAAATCTTAATAAGTCAATTTTTCTTAAAATAAGTGTATTTTTTCTTGAATTGAGGAGGTAAGTGAGACACTTTGCCAATGGAACAAGACAATTTACATTTAAAATAAGAAAAAAAATTGCATTGTCTTTATTTCAAGTGAGTTTTATCTAATTATCTAATTTTAAGAATAAAAATAGTAATTCCATTGAAAAATCCTCTTACCTACTCAAATTAAGAGTAAATACACTTAATTTAAGAAACCTTTACCTATTTCTAGATTGTTTTTGCAGTGCACTGAAAGAAAATGAGGTGTTTATGCATCCATGTTATACATAGACCTAAAAAAAAAAGAGAAAATAAAGTGTGTTTACAATTGCTCAGTTCGGTATATAAACAATTTCCTGATTCACATATTTTACAAAGCCATTCTAAAGCACATATCAAGGTGCTCATTTTGAGCCTGGATGAATATTTATTTTTGATTCTGTTCATGGAGGAGAATCCTGCTTCACAGCAGCAGGTTGAGCCAAACACACTCAAAATCTGCAGGGTCATCTTTGAGCACAATTTCACTTTTCTGTCACCAGTTCACCACGGTTCTTCCAGCAGTCCACACTTTCTCTGCTCTCTTTTTCTCATCGTCTTCTCCTTCTTTCCCATCGCCCGGCTTACTACAGGTTTCCCTGCTGTGTCTAAAAGTAGCAGCAGCAGCAACCCAGACTGACTCAGCTCATTGGGTGATTGGCATCACATTTAGCCTGGTGCTGGACGTTCTGGATGGCTTTACCGTACAAATAGGCAAAACGTTGCAACTGAAATTAGACACTGTTGGACAACATGCGGTTATTTATAAATGTTTTAAATCAGGTTGGGTCCGGATTAGCCAGCAGGTGGGTCCGGATCCGGACCGCGGTCCACTAATCCGTGACCTTTGATCTAGAGTCTTAGGACACAGATTGGGGACTCATCAACTTTGGTTTGTAAACCATCTTTGTTCAGTCCCCTTCTTTGTCTCTATGCCTCTGAGTCAGGCCAGTCCCACATCCATCAGGGCAGGTTCAAGTTCAACATTTCCTTACATTTCAGTATAAATATGCTATATTTTAATTAGAATAGAGTCTTGCATCTATTGAAAACAAAGTGTTAAATAATTTTGGGAAATAATAATAACATTTAGTTAACATTTAGTGTCGACAGACGGTGCTTTAGAAGCATTCATAAATCCAAAAGAGGGACATGTGGTCTTAAAGTGAACCCTTTGGGCACAATATAACCACACATTTTTTATATGACAGATCGATGAACTAACAAATTTATTGTAATGGGAGGTTAACATATAAAAACCAAATAACACAAAGTTTGACATCTTAATTTTTGATACACTAAAATGAACTAAAAACCCACCCAGCCACTCCACTTGGTTAATCTGTCTGTACTTTCATCCTAATATGAACACAGCTGTTCTCAGATGTGAGTTTGTATAAAGTTTAAACTACAGTTAGATTACAAGACAATATTACAACTGCCTTCAAAGTAAGACACTTTGTATTACTGATAATGTGCTTTGAGTTGTAATGTGCTTTTTTCAAAAGAGCAAATATGTCCAATGTGATTCGCATATTGTAATTGGAGTTAGGTTTGTGTACGTTCTCAAGCTTCTATCTACTTCTTTTTAGCTGTACTAAAATGTTTTGACATCTAAATGTAAACCCTGATTTATATTGTTGCTCAAAGAAATTGAATAACCAAGTAAATTAGAAAAGTTCAATACTTGAACAGCTCCTTTGAGTGCTATTCAAGTCGACACAGCTGGAGATCTACCAAAACATCTGGATTTCACCTGGAGGAGACGCAGCGAACATGTGAAAGAAAAAAAAAATCAAATTTAAAATGCATAGCAGAAGCAATGCTCTTTGTTCACATCATAATCTCTGTGAAAAGGAATTATTCTATGGGATCTGCTTTTGTTTTTGGACTGTAAAAGACAAATGCTGCTGTTTGTTGGGGTTTTTGAAAAGAAAACGTAAATGATGCTAAGAAAGTACACTTAGGTTTGTCGCCGTTACAAAACAAAATGCGAAGACGTTCACACGTGGTGAATACTTTACTGGGCAGGACAATACATAATCAATAAAATAACCTATTGGAGCTAACACCCAGCTCCCTGGGCCTAAAAACAGATACTTGCTTGATGTACGTAGTTAAGGCATAAGACTACATGTCAAGACGTAATTTAAAGTATTTCTGAAGCATTTTAGATCAAAGGAGGATCCAGGTCCATAAACCCCATATTAAAATGATCTGTCTGCTGTATTGTACATTAAGCAGATTGTTAGTAAAAATAGATTTTTTTAAAATTTCCATTAATTTCTATTCATGAATGTGAATCTTTTTGGTTTTCAGATTGTTCGGGCTGCGGCAGAGACATCAAAAACGGCCAGGCTCTGTTAGCCCTTGGAGGTCAGTGGCACCTTGGTTGCTTCAAATGCAAAGCTTGCGGGAGGATCCTGAGTGGGGAGTTCATCAACAAGTAAGTACACAACTTCAAAGAGAATGTGGATTTACACAGTTTGAATTTACACGTCGTTTATCTTTCAGAGATGGCTTTCCTTACTGTGAGAGGGACTACCAGACTCAGTTTGGGGTTAAATGTGAGGTGTGTCATAGGTTCATTACAGGAAAAGTCCTTGAGGTAAGAAAAGTCTCTGTTGTGCTAAGTCCTTTTTTTATTTGATAGTCTTCCACTTATAAGTTAAGCTTTGCACCACATTAACAGAAGCATAATTTGCACAAAGCAGTTGCAGCATCTATTGTCTCCTCTCATTTCTAATTTGTAGTTTTAAAAAAAGCCACACCTCCCACAAATAAGCCCAACAATCAAAACACTTGATGGTATTGTTTCTTCAATAGGCTAATTATTGTATTAGTTATCAATGTATAAGGATTTTTTTACAAATTCCTTCTCAAAGTGACACAATTACACAACATATAAAGATTTTTGAAAACAAAAATAAAGTGGATTTTATGTTATTCATGCTGGGTACTGCTTATACTTACATGTACTGGTACCCCTCTTTTAATGAACCAAAAACCCACAATGGTCACAAAAATAACATAAATCTGACAAAAGTATAATAAATAGAAATTCTATGAAAAGGAACCATGCTTTTATAGAATTAATTTAAAAAGCAAAACGCATGAAAAAAAAAAATTATGCTACTTTTAGAGGCAATTGTTGCATTTAGACAATTCCTTCGACAGTTAATGGGACCTGTTCCTCTCAGCAGGTATTTTGGCCCATTCCTTATTAGCAAAATGCTCCAGCCATCTCAGGTCTGAAGAGGCATATTTAGCTCCAAAGATGCTCAGTAGGATTGAGGTCAGGGATCATAGAGGTCACTTCAGAATAGTCCAATGTTTTCCTCTTAGCCATTCTTGGGGGTTTTGGTTCATTACCATGTTGAAGATCCATGACCTAACTTTCTGACTCTGGGCAGCACATTTATCTTTAGAGACCCTTTTATTGTCTTCAAATTTCATTGCAACATGTAGAGATTCAAGTAACCCAGTGCCAGATGAAGCAAAGCAGCCCCAGAACATAACGGAGCCTCCTCCATGTTTCACAGCAGGGCAGTGTTCTATTTTTGATAGTCATAATTTTAAAATTTGTGTCTATAGAGCTGATGTGCCTTGGAAAAAAGTTACATTTTTGTCTCCTGTGCACCTAGAAGCTTTGTAGTTTGGCATCTTCCAGTCTGACTTTATGATTTGTTTTTTTTAACAATGATAAACTCCTCTGTCGTCTTCCATTAAGTCCACTTCGTCTCAAACAACAATGGGTTTTGTGATCTTACATCGATGTTTCTAAAGCTTTGAGTTCACCTTTAATCTCTAGAAGTTTTTCTGGGCTCTTTCGATAGCATTCATATTATCCCTTTCTTTGATTTGTCTTTGATTTTGTCCAGTGGCCACGTTCAGGAAGGTTGGCTACAAGGAGATGCATGCCTGTCAATATTTTTCTTTCTAATCTCTTGGTCCATGTTGAGTGTGATATACACCATGTAACCAAACAGCACAGTGAAAACCTGTTGCCCTATATATACACCCACTAATTCATTACAATATTGTAGACTGCTTTAATGTTAAATAGTGAACACACCTTAATTTAATATCTCCCTTTGTTTACATTATTTTCAGTCATTTCTAAGGGAACCATATTTTTTTTTCTAGGCGTGAAGCAGGAGTAACATTTTTTAATAGTTTGTTGAAGCATTTGTTAATTTTCATAGAATTTTGTTTTTACTTTGACTTTTATCACTTTCAAGATATTTATGTGACTATTGTGGGTTTTTCTTTCATTAAATGAGAGGCACCGATATTTTAGTCCACGTAGGAAACTTAACATATAAAAAAACAACAAAAAAACAAGGGGAAGCCTAAGGATATCAGGGAGGTGCTCAGATGGAGAACTGCAGATTTACAGACATCAGGAATGTTGTGTTTAAAACATTTCTGAATGGTTGCAGGGTTCCCTAGTGACAACTGTGTTTCACAAGAGGTTGTTCAGGTGTTCAGATAAAAGATATAACAGGTTTTCAAATGTAGAACGAAAGCACCAGGGTGGCCATATTGTGCAGTGTATTGTCATTGTTTTTTTTTTTCTTATTTATTTTTTCTTTTGTTTGGGGGGGGACTCTGGTATTAGCACAAAGCGGACAGAAAATTGTATACTGGAAAAATAATCTAAAAATAAGTAAAAAATTCTTAGATTAAGTGTATTTACAGTAGGTAAATGAGATGATCTGCCAATGGAATGAGTAGTTTTATTCTTAAAATACGATAGATAATTAGATCAAATGGAACAAGTGCTGTTTTTTTAAGAAAAAAATGCTTTATCTAGATTTTGATTTTTTCCAGTGTAGAATTATCTCTAAATTCTTGAACTGATGGACCTACAGTTCTTTTTCCTAGGTATCCTCTTCTTACCTATTACTGCATTTATTCACCCACCTGCCTGTATAAGACAACATATTTTTTTGTTGTCTTGTTTTCTGTTCCTAGGCTGGTGAAAGACATTACCACCCGGGTTGTGCGAGATGCTACAGGTGCGGTAAAATGTTTACAGAGGGAGAAGAAATGTTGGTTCAAGGTCAGTGTAGGGATTTTCTAACTGACTCTGTATCATGTCTAGAAAGAAGTAATTCTGGATCATTTTTTTCTCTCCTCTATGTGTCCACACCTTCACAGGTGCAACAATGTGGCACCCGCACTGCAAAGACAACGGCAGAACAGAGGAGAGCTTTAGAGTAAGACTGAAACATCATGTTTACCCACTTTATATATATATTAAATAGTCAGAAACCTTAGTTTTACAAGCTGCATTCATCAGACAGTATCTACATGAGATCTGCTAAACCTTCCACATAATGTGTGACTTCGCAGCGTCACATCACTCCTTTACATCTCCTTTTCAGGTCAACAGAGCCAAGACGCCTTGCCTTGATTTCTTTTTCCCCTCAAATGAATTAAAGGTCAACATCGTATTGTGGCCTGCTTTTTTTTCCTGCACTGATATATGTCAACATAATGGGGTGAAAATAACAGTTGATGATTAAACCTAATAAAAAGCTGCTCGTATTGCTTATCCTGGCCACTTAAGCGTGTTTCCAAAGTTTTAAAACTTCTTTGAACTTTTTCTTTTTGGTCACATTACAACCAAAACCTTTGATAAAATTTCTTTGGATCTTATATAATCGGCCAACATAAAGTGAATAATTGCAAAACTGAAGGAAAAGGAGAAACCATATTAAAGTTCAGACTTCTGATTCGATAGTTTGTAATATTATTTTGTTGCAACTGTTTTAACTTTGATTTTCTTTTTATATCCTTTCAATTTAAGCAATTCTTCTCAGAAACCAGTTTAAACCCTGACATATTGCGCAAAGAACATCAGCTAACATTGTGTTAAAACAGGACAGATTCTGACCTGGATTAAGATTTGGACTTTGACTCGACCATTCCAACATGGGTATGCTCTGATCTAAGCTAGAGATGTCCATCTCCTAGATCTCTAAGACCAAAGTCCAGTATGTGTTAATTGTGTCTGCTCCAACACAGATGAATCAAACTGCTGAATGACTGTAGCAGGTTCCCATGTTCAAAGGGAGCTGGTTAATAACCAAATTTGGCCAAACCTAACATGCAGGAACCAGGCCATGGAGGAATCATTCTTGACAGCTCTGATCTGAACCAATAAATGAGGCTGTTATCTTAATCGTCTTCAATAGCTTTTCAATTTGAGATAAAAACTTCATTTTTAGTCGGATCTGACAGGAACACCCTTATCCACAAGTTCATTGTGTCTCTTACATTGCTTATCACCAAAACCATACATTTACTTTGTGTTGGTCTGTTAGATAAACTCCTGAGAAGCAATGACAAGCTCAAGTTGAATGAAACTTTTGAAAGGCACAGTAGATGCTTTGTTCTAATGCTTTTGATTGTGCACAATAAACTAATTTTAGATCAGTTTGTATTTATATAAATACTTTTTTTAAATGCATGCTTTTCTGTTTATTTGCAAATTCTCTGTCAGTTCAGGTTGAAATTCATGTCTTAGTAGGTCTGCAGTTGATTCATTCTTTATACTCAAATTCTCTTAAATCACAGCCATGTTCAGCCATGTTTATTGTCAAACTTGCATTTAAAAAAAATCTTTTTAACATACAAACACAGTTAAAAAAATTAGAATTCAGTGAAAATATTTAAAATTTTCTGTCAGCGAAGTGAACAAATAAAAATGGTCAAAAACCATACTCAATGAAATGATGCAGTGATATTACAATTCAGCCTCATTTATTTATATTGCTAAACAAAGTTTGCCTTGAAGAGTTTGCAAAGAGCTCAAACTAATTCATAATGCAAATCAAATGAGGTAAATCCAAAATTTTTTTAAATAATTTGGTTGAATAAAAAATGAATAGCTTCTTAGATAATTGATTATTAGCATTCTTTGATTGTTCCTGGGTGAATAATTAAGATAAAGAAGCCAACCTCTGTCCTAACTATCAATTCAAATTGAAATCCATGTGTTAGTAGGTCTGCAGTTGATTTATTCTTCATATTCCTATTCTCCCAAATCTCAGCCAAGTGCCAGCTTATTGTAAAACTTATATTTTAAAAATCCTTTTTAACATACAAATACAGCTCAAAAAGTTATACTTCAGTGAAAATATTTCATATTTTTTGTCAGTTAAGTCATCCCCTCAAATTCACTCCTATTCCTGCACTGGAAAAAACATCTAGAAATGAGTAAAAATGTCCTAAATTAAGTGCATGTACCCTTAATTTCAGTAGGTAAATGAGATAGTTTGCCAATGGAATTAGTATTTTTACTCTTAAAATAAGATAATTAGATAATGTGCACTTGAAATAAGACAATGCAATTGTGTTTTCTTATTTTAAGTATAAATGATCTTGTTCCATTGGCAAAATGTCTCGTTTACCTCCTCAATCCAAGAACAAATGCACTTATTTTAAGAAAAAAATGACTCATCTAGATTTAAACTTTTTCCTGTGTGTCCTACTTTACGATTTTCCTTCCACTTAATTTTCTAGAATTTTCAAAACCTTTTGACAGTATATTAATTATCTGAACATTACTTGCAGATGGTCCAATTCTCCGCTTAATAAACCCATAAAAACAGCACCATGTTGAATCTTGTATGCATGCTAAACTGAGGAAGGTTAAGACAGTTTGTTGTTTTCCAGCCCAACAGATCATCATCCGAAAGCTCCAGCTCCAGGCCGGGCTCGTGCACGCCCAGCAGCCCCGGCAGAACCATCTGCGTAAGTTCTCATGCTACCTCTATCCATTGTCTCTTCTCCTTGTTTTACATGTTTTGTTTCAGTTATGCACTTTTATTCATACAGGGGAGCCACCTGGACGAATCACTTGTGAAAGATGTGTCTTTTTAACAAAATAAAAGGACATTTATGGAAACTGTATTATAGTCAGTTTCCTTACTTACGGATTTTTTAAGAGTTACTCGAACTTGACTGATCGGAACTAGCTTTCATGTTTGAGAAAATGGGATTCCAGTTGAACTCAGCTGGTTTTTACATTTTCTTTGTTTATTGATCAGTAGAATAAATATTGAGCAAATTTTGATTTGTTCAATAAAGTCTGAGACTGAGTTTTGATCTCTGCAAAAAAAAAAAAAATGCTTTAGTGTCTTTTCCAGCAGTAAGCCTTTTGTTATCTGTTTTGTTTTATTGCATGGAGCAAACTCTATTCCCATTAAAGCACCCAACAAGCCAAAAATGTAGTTTATCTTCAAAGTCGTTAAATAATTCGTAGAAGTGAACAGAAAGAAGGTGAGATAACGTAAAGAATCAGGCTACCTCATGTGCCAAAGTCAGGAGAATCATGGTGCTTTGGGACTAAAGCTTGATTCCTCCCTGCTGAGATGTAAACCGTTCAATCTGTCCCCTCAACCTAACCTCCACTGTGTGCTGCTTATGTCTCCTGCCCTGTGTGTGTGTGTGTCTCCCTCTCACCTCCCCTTCTAGGCAAAAGTAGATAATGAGATCATTGATTACAGAGACTTAGCTGCAATTCCCAGAGTCAAGGCTATATACGATATAGAGCATCCAGACATGATATCCTATAAGTCTGTAAACTTCAACTCCTCTGCTTTGGACGACAAAGGAAACACACAGAACAGACGAAGCCTGGCAGAGGTAACTTCTTCCAATGCTCAAAGTAACAAGCACTGAGAAGGGTCGTTTAACTGGGATTTTATGTGATGGATCTTCTCAAGGTAGAGGATCACTGTAAAGAGTAAGGAAAGTGATGTATGGTTTTCACCACTGATAAAAACAGCCTAAAGTTTATTGCTGCAAGTGTTTATGGGATATCTTCAAGAGCTCTTCACATGTAGACACTGACATTTTTGTGACATTCCTCTTTTTATAGCAGCTGAATGTGAGATAGATGTGTCTGTAAAAATAAATTCTAAACTGAATTCATGTCTGGACTTTGACTACAGGTAGGCCACTCAAAAATCCTTTTGTAGTTCAGTGTCTTAGTTATGATGGAAGGAGAGATACTTAGAAAGTCTAGAATCTTATGCATCCTCTAACAGCTCTGTGCAGCACCATTCCCCACAGCATGGTGATGCTACAGTCCTTCCTCAGATGGAGATGGGATCGTGTTATTTAATTAGATAACTTTCAGACTGTCATGTGTTGCTCTGTGAACACGCCCCCAACTGGCTGTGTTTTAAGATAATAAATGACTTGTGCTTAAATCATAGAAAAACAACTAATTCTGCACAGATGGTATATGGAATAAATTCACCACGGAAATATAATATAATAATATAAATAATATAATGTATAATAATTAACAAAACTCATCCAACTCCAAAGAAAACATTTTGTTGTTAAAATCTTTCAAGCTCAGTAGTGAAACTCAGCTACTAAGCTATTTTGTTTACAAAGAAAAACAAATAAAAATGGTCAAAAACCATACTCAATGAAATGATGCAGCGATATCACAGCTCAGCCTCATTTATTTGCTTTGAGAAACCAAGTTTGTCTTGAAGAGTTTGCAAAGCGCTCAAACCAATTCATAATGCAAATCCAAGGAGGTAAATTAAAAGTTTTTAAATGATTTGTTTAAATCAGAAATTAATAACCTCTTGGATGATTGATCCTTAGCATTCTGTGATTGTTCCTACAAACCAAGATAAAAATGCAAGCTTCTTCCCTGACTGTCGTATCAGGTTGACACCCATGTCTTAGTAGATCTGCAGTTGATTCATTCTTCATATTCATATTCTGGTTTAAATAAAGCTCTGTAATGTTCAGTGTTCATAATAATATCTTAGAGCCTAACTGTGCTTTAAACTTCTTCAAAAAATCCTCACTGAACTGACTGCTGTTCTCATTGCTCTTTATGATGCTGTATGCTCTAACAAATCTCTAAGGCCTAAAACAGAACAACTGCATTTTTCCATTTAATTCAGTTTATTTATATAGAGCCAATTTAACTTAACAACTGTCATCTCAAGGCACTTTATAGTTTACCAGATCATCCAGTCCAATTGATTCAAAGTTTTCCAAGGAAAACCAATTGATTGCATCAACTCATTGACTGGAAGGCAATCCCTCGCACTAAGCATGCTTGTAGCGACAGTGGAGAGGAAAAAACTCCCTTTTAACAGGAAGAAACCTCCAGCAGAACCAGGCTCAGTGTGAGCGGCCATCTGCCTTGGCCGACGGGGGTTCATACTCAGATGTAAACTAAATACAGGTGAACTAACTTTAGCAGTTATGTGACTTTTGTAGAAAGTTAGCTGCATTATATTTCATTTAGGGCTTTCCGCATAAAGGGACTTAATACAACATGTAGGTCAGAACTCAGAACTTTGGACCCAGAGTTTCAGGCAGAAAGACTGATGTGATTTAGAATGGCGTTTATTGACAATACATCAAATCTGCGAAAAAAAGGCCGGAATCTGTGTAGAGGGGAAAACTAAGGTTAGTGACCACTAAATCTGACAGAGGACGATTATGAGCGTGTGAGTCACTAACCTGGTTATAAAGTTCAGTCTGAGCCCAGAAGGAGTGGAATCGAGCTGGATGATTTCCCACAGCATGCCATAGAATGAACCGTTAAACCAGTCATCAGTGCCAAGATCATTACAATGTATACCACACTATTTCAGATTTTTATTTATAAAAAGAGTGAAAACCATGTATTCCTTTTCTTCCGCTATACCTTGGGAAGGCCTATTGGATAAATTCCAGCCAAAATATATTGTGACGGTAATTTGGCAAAAGTAGCAAAGGTCAGGGATATGAATACTTATGCAAGTCTTTGTAGGTTTAAGTGAAATTTGGAGCATTAGTGTTTGATTATCCTGTTATCCTAAGTTCTGTAAGTTGTATCGCGATTATTGTATTTTAAAATTCACAAAATGACTCCTGTTTTTTTTTTTAGAATAAGTTTCAAATGATAATATCTTAGAAGAGTTTGACTGATCCTTTTGTTGACTTTTATAATTTTGTGTAAACATAATGAAATTCAGACTGATTGATCCTTGTATGACTATAAATAGATGAACATTTAGATGTGTTTTTTTTAGATGAAAAGCTGGTCTACCTTAAGATATAGTTTGTTTTGGTGCCTGCTTGTGCAGTATTAAAATAAGCAGGTCAATAATTGCTTTTCCCATCTTTTTTTGTCTTCTTCAGTCACCAGGAAAAATGTCTGAAGCCACTGAGGTATAAAATATTAACTGGCCTCATTCAGGATGTCCAGGTAACAACCCAAGTAGGGCTTCATCTGCATGTTTCTCATCCCTTGTCTTTTTTCCCCCATTATTCCAGGAGAGTATTGAAATGAGACCATGCGTACCAAAATCTTCAAGCCATGGATCTTTTGGAGGTCAAACCATATGTTACCGACACAGCTACAGTCCCAGTCTATCCAGTTCACCCAAACACTTCCATCGACCAGGTGAAAAAGAGCGTGGAGATATTCTATGAAAAATCACAGTGTTATCGAACAGATCCTTACCCTTCTTTTTTCTGTTTTATCACATTTCCTTCCCAAAATCTGTCCTTCTTCCTTAACACTTTCCTACTCCCTTAATCTTTGTCAATAACAAGGTTCTACTTCTTTGCTTCATGGAAACAAAAATGACACCTGCACTGCTTCTCCTTTAAGCCACCACTCTTTCTCTAAAACAGGAGGTAAGGCTTCTCTCCTTCTCGCCAAACCGTTCTCCTTCCCCCTTTCTTCTAAGTTTCTGCAGTGCCTTGAAAAAGGATTCAGAAGAAAACAAAATGTTTATCAGGAATACATCTTTTAGTATTATTCATATGCACTGCAACAAGGCTCATTTGTTTGAATACAATAGAAATAAAATGGAATATTGATATAAAATCTGAAAATAAGAGTAAGAAAGTAAAAGCAAATATATAGATTATTAAGTATAAAAAAAAGTTAAAATTAGATTTAGTAATGACATTTAAGCAGGTTTTAAACCTGTTTTTATAAGCCCTAAATTTCTAAATCTAAAGAATTCTTCTATTGGCCTGATGTAAGATTCTAATCCTAAATGTCTCTCTTCACGTCGATAAATCCCAGTTTTCAACGTTTATTTTGGAGTTTATCTTGATTTTCCCTGTTTAAGCATAACAATAGCTCACCTATCCATTAGCTTATTTTTTTTTTTAGAACTTTTTATTCAACCATTTTAGTAATTTTACATAACATCTCCTGACACAAACTCAAGTAGTAAACATCACGACAAACACAAAATACCAAAAATCTTCACAATTATGACAGCAGGCAGAGCAGACACCATCCACAATCTGTAATCCGTGACCAAGCAACTCTTCCCATAGTGGAATTCCATTAGACTTCTCCTTCCTCTAGTATCTCATCCCATTTTCCTCTCCATCAGATACCTTGATATTATAAAATACAAGTCCATATTTGTACAAAAGTATCCATAGTAAGCTGCAGGCTTGCAGTCATTCTCTCCATTGTATAAACATGTTTCAATCTCTTCAACCTTTGACTTAAAGTTGGTGGTTTTGCATCGCACCAGTGCAAAGTAATCATTTCTTTGCTACCAGTAAAAGAACCCTCAGTATCTCTGATCTGCATTATATCTGCTTTTAGGTATGGCTCCCAATAAAAACACCACAGGTTCTGGAGTCACATTTAATTTCAATATTTCCTCTATTTCCTTCTTAATATTTTCCCAAAAACCTCGTATTACTGGACAATCCCAAAAAATGTGTGAGGTGTCTCTAATATTTCCACAATTTCGCCAACATAATGCTAAACTGGGATTTTTCACGAATGAGGAAATGATAAACGGAGTATTAAAGTCTCTGATCTTCACTTTCCAATCAAACTCTTTCCATAATTGGCAGCTAATTCCCCCATGAGAGCCGATACATATGTCCACCCATGTAGAATCTTCAATTATAACATTTAATTCTAATTCCCATTTTTCCTTAGTAATGTTTGTGTTTTGTAAGGTGTCAATGACCAACCTTTTGTATATATTAGATGTGTTTTTTTTTGTTGGGAAATGCTTCTCTATAATGCTGATGAGGTATTCCTCTATTTCGTTTGGATTTTTTTTTTTACCAAATCTCTTTCTTTATGGCCTGTGTTATAATGACTTATCTGAAGATATCTATAAAATCATTTGATGGGAGGCCAAATTATTCTTGAAGTTGAGAGGATGATTTGAGTTCTGTTCCTATAAAGAGTTGGTTGATTGTACAAAGACCCCTGTCAGTCCATCTTTTAAATCCTACATCCTATCCCACATCGAAGGAATAGGATGTTGTCCACTTTTCTATCCATTAAAGCAGAAAACAATCATAATTAACTGGATTAAGAGCTTTAAAACACCATTCTGTGAATAATAGATCTATATAATATGTTTCATCTAGCAAATTGTATTATTGAAATAAATGTGCCTCTCAATAATATTCAGATTTATTAACCATGTCTATATAACAAGGATAAAGTATCTTGTTTTGCTAAAACAGAGCCATCTAGTGGTCAAAGTTTAGAAGAATTTACACCTTCTTAGGTTATGTTTATTTTAGCAGCTCTGTTTGTATCTTTATGTCCTGTTTTCTGTTTGTCTAACCAACACTCACTGTTAAACTGCTTTAAACCGTCGGGTTCCCATAGTGAGCACGTTGATTAAAGGGAAGGAAAGGGTATCAATGAGATAACATTGTGTTAGGAAGATGATCTGCTTTTGTGTGATTGAACTTTTCCCTGAAATACTACAGCATTTTATGTCTTTGCTCATTTTCAAACACAAAACACCAGCAAGCTTTAAAACAGAAATAATAGACATAGTAAAGCAAGAACTGTGAGTTTGTTTGAAGCACAAAGAAGTGCCGTCCTTGAAATTATTTCTACTAACTTTGCATCCTTCTTTTTAGCAGATGAAGGCTTCGATTTCTACAGGAGGCCTCCCATTTATAAACAGCAAGGTATTGTATTCAATTATGATTTTAAGCCTTTGTATGTGACTTTTGAAACACGTACAATTCTTAAAATCTATATTAGATAGAAAATAGAAAAATAGAAAAGCTGATATGTATCAGGATTATACTGCTATCAGACTTTTTAACTCCTTTTTTTTTTTTACTTTATGTAAATATTTAAATTATAAAATCCGTTTTATTACAATTGTATTGTAGGCCATCCAAAGGTTTTCTTTAGGATTTAAGTGACTGGGATGGTCTAGAATAGTTGATTTTGTGTCTGATGAACATTTCCTAAATTGAACCTGCCAACCATTAGGCAATACTATGCAGCTGCCTAGAGCCCCAAGTTCCTGGGGGCCCCATAAAACTGTTTACCTGTATGGTTAATACAACTATTTCTTATTTCCGTTGTCCACCACATTGGATCAGTCCATTCTCTACACATGTTCAGAAAGGTCCAAACAGACAGAAGCAAACCATTTGAAAAAAAAAATGAAAAGATGCAAAGAGCAGTGTTGCAAACTTAACTCTTTTGTCGCTATATTTAGTGACTTTTCAGACCTCTCTAGCACTTCTATTTCAAAAAAGCGCCTAGGGCCAAATCTAGTGACTTTTTTCTGCTACTGGAAGCTTTGGCGAGAACATATAAAAGCAGTGAACTCTGCTCTCCAGAGCAAGTAGATTTGTAACCCCGCCTCCTGCTCTCCTCTATTTTGTCTGCTGTCATGATTCATGCAGCTATTATTTCATCCAAATGAAAAATGGAGAACAGATAAGCAGATCATGGCTTGTCTACGGTGAAAAAAGGGACTGGCTTATTTACTTTTGCCGTCGCCTTTTTGGAAACACAGGAAGGAGCTAAGTGAGCTTAGTGCTTGGAAAAAATCTTTAATTTCTTTTGAGACAGCATAAAAAGTCAGCTGAGTACAAAACATAGAGAGGAAAACAACAAGAAAAGGGACAAGAAGAGAGGGAGAAAACTTAGAACAAATAATGTATGTCTATTCTATTAAAATTTCATTATCTGTATAATGGGTCTCTTTCATGTGTTGTCTGCTCAATTAAGAGGGCCCCCTGCCTGTTTTTGCCTAGGGCCCCAAATTTCCTAACTCTGCTGCTGCCTGCCAAATGCCAAAATTTATTCATTTTGAAATTCCACACAATGATGCTGTTTAGTTTCCTGACCATCACCAACAGATTTTTATTTAACTCCAGGGAAAATTCAAATGTAGGAGCTTTGATGAACAAAACTTGTCCCTGTAGAAAATGTAGTATAAAGTGGTTTAAATCATAATATTTTAACTTTTTTATGTTTCCTTTTCTGCTGGTGATAAAAAACTCTAATTTATATTGAAAAATGCAAAGTATGTAAAGTATAATCTAGAAATAATCTAAAGCAGAATCTAAAGTGTAGATTTGAATGCTTTGTGTATTTGTGTGTGTTGTAAACCTTAAAGACAATAACTGTTTAAAAATACTGTGCCAAAAACAGTAAAAAAAAAAAAAAAAGAGTTGATTACTTAAATGCAAAGAGTGGATAAAATAATATTTTTCTTTTTCTTGAGGTTTCCAGGGTGTTTAAATCTTTTATTATTGTATGGAGCTCTTGTTGCCATGCACTCTAACAAGGATTCCCAGGGACTTTAGTGAAAAAGAGACCACAAAACATTCACCATTCATAATAGTGGCCAAGATATATTTTTTCCATATAATATTTTCATCCCAAACTGATGTGGCTGATCCTCCTAAAGCTCTCAGTTTAAGTCCAACAATATTTTACAATCTCTACCTCCCGAACAGACATCTTGCATGCAGTCAGCATTTTATGGTTGTTATGGAGACGTCCAAAAGCTTTGCAGAGCCTCACTGCGTTTGGTAAAACGATGAAATTTGATTCAGAAGCAGAATGTCTTAAATTACATTAATTTTTACAGCAAATCTTTAAGAGTTCATCTTAATTCTTTGTCATTTATTAGCTTTTTGATGATAAAAATAACAAATAAAGATGCTTCAATTAGAGGTCAGAGTTTAAATTCCATCTGTCTGATGTTATCTTTACCATAGATGTAGTCATGAATCTGAATATAAATACACTCTCTAAAAATTGATTGGTTGGGAAAACAAGTAATCTAGTGATTAAACCTATTTTTGTTAGATCAACCAAACTGACCCAGCCATTGGTTTTGGATCAACCAATTTGATTGGTTAACCAAACAACCAATAAAAATGGTAACAGATGGTTAACTACTCTGACTGTTTGGCTGTAATCAAGCAATAGTTATGGACCTAGAGAACAATGTGTACAAGTACAGCATGCAAGTCCTGGCCTTAACCTGGGTTTTAACATTAGTAGTAAATTCTTAGAAATATTAGTAGCAACAGCGGCGCAGGATGCAGGAGTTTGACCTGAAACTTTAGGAATGGTGGTCTAAGCCCTGGTTCTGGCTTTCAGTGGCATTAAAATAATTGATCAATATTTTGGTCAAAGTGACCAATTTTTATTGGTTTGTCCTTTTACAAATATAGATTGGTTAAAAATGATACCAAATAGATTGGCTGTTTTAACCATAGGACAAATAACTACCAATCAGGTTGGTAAAATTCAACCCATTTATTGGTTGTATTGAGCGATCTGTTTTTAAGGTGCCGGTATTTTCATGAGCTGTATGATCTAGAAGAAGCTAAGAAAGACTGATTTCCTTTGAAAGTCGGATCTATTCTGGGCGATGATCTTAGCCTGACTCCAAGTCGTCTCATGCAGAGCACATTTCTCTCAATTTCACACAGATCCAGATTCCTCCTCATCCCAAACAGCCTCTCTTCCCGGATACAACCACAACTTCCTGAGTTTGGTGAGAACAGAACATCTTGTTCCTAATCTGCCTTTGGAAAGGAGAGAGTGGCCGTTTAAGATCTGTTCAAACATTTTGAATATAATGAACATTAAGAGTTGAAATGAACCCAAATCAAAAGATATTTTATTGATTTATGTCTAAATAACTAGAAAAGCTCAATATATTTTTTGCATCCTGTAAATGCCTTTCTTGTATTTCTGCTTTTTAAGCCTCAGTCAGCTGATTACTGCCACACCAGCCATGAAAGATTCAGTAAGTATGCAGGTATTATCTTTCCCACAACATTGCTTGTAACTCTAACCTCTCAAACCTTTCAGTTACTATTTTTTTAAACAGTTGATAATTTCTTCTCCTTTCCTTTCAGACTTTAAGGTATGTCAGCCCATCTAATTTCCAAAAAGTCCTGGTGGTGCTTTCCTCATCAAATCTCCCTCACCGTGTGCAGCTGTGTGTTCTGGGAGGAAGATTTAGCTGAACTTCTAGTTCAGTTGGCCTAAAAGTCACAGAACATGCTGGGGTTTTTTTTTTCTAGCAGCAGTGAAATTGTTAAATGAACTTTGATGCTCACACTCACTCCATTAAAACGCCATCTCTCTGCCATACAGACATGCACTCCCCCACCCCGCCCTACTTGTAAGTGCAATGTAATTAATAGTACTACTACATCCTGGCTTACATTGGAGTATCTCCAGCCCATTTCTAACTATTGTCTATAACATACTTTCTACTCCTAACACTCACTTTTCTGACACATTATTTGCCTACTTGGTCCTTTATCTTACTGCTCTTTATCAAAAACTATAATTTATTCTATATTTAACAACTTTTTTACAACTGCAGACCCCGCCATGGCTCTTGTATGGCTTTATTCTTATTTTACTGTTGTTTTTATTGCTACTAAATCCATTTCTTTTTAACCTTATGCTAGTATTTTATCATGTTTTTAATTTCTTGGTCTGGTTAGCGATCACATTGGGTTGTAATGCTGCTAATGGCGTGCATTAAATTATTTTCTTATCTGAACAATCAACC